GAAACTGCCGCGTCGTTTTTTTTCCGTATGAAACCAGGACATCCGAACCAGGCTGGTAGCCACCCTCTCTTCCATTGCACAATGTACTATGCACGCGCACTCGTGCATCACACATCATCCATGTGCAAGAACCCCTGCAATAATCCCTGCACGCGCATGCCTACATCCTTCGGACACTTCAAGACTGCACCGACTTCAAAATCAAGGCCCCCGCTTCGGCCAAACAGTTGTGCGCGAGCGCCCTTGCGAATTATTTTCGAAACGCCGCACGTTTCCCAACGTTTCATCACATGCCACGCGCGCGTATCGAAAACATTCGAACGCCCCTACGCACGTGCTGGGTGGGCACGACGCCTGCCAAATAGCACCACGCGGGCCACTCTCGCCCGTCGGCCGCACGCGCATGTCGAAATCGTTCCACGACATTAATCACCGACGTGTGGACACCATCATCGTCATCGGCGTGATCAGCATCAACGCCGTCATTGCCCTTGCCGTCGCCATCGCCGTCGTCGTCGCCAACATCGTTACTATCACCATCGCGCCTGCCGTTGTCGACGTCGACCTGATACCGTTCCCGCCCGAGCCACCGACTCGCACTGAAGTGCCCGCGCGTCAGCGCGGCCTGCCAGACGCGCTGGGAAGTCCCCAGGGGTGAGCGCCACCACGGCCACGTCGGTTGCGCCAGACTACATCGCCGCTGTGTGCGCGAGCCTGCGCGCGCTAGCGCGGCTGCAGCAATGCGCCAGCCACCGCCAAGCAGTCATCGCAATCGCCGCCACATGGGATTTGCAAACCAAGTTGCGGGCGGGTGGGTGGGATGATTGCGCGAGCGCTGGAGTTGACAACTGAATTCGCCTTTCCAAAAACACAAAAGACTCCACCCCCCCGGCGTTATCCGCCCCCCTTTCGAGCATGTACGATTCTGACCACATGTCCATCCTAAATATGAATCTACACTATCCCCAAGGGGCCGGGATCGGCCCCCTCTGAGGATCCCTGGGGAACAAACAATACGCGGGGACATCTTTTGTTCTAACATAGCACTGTTTTTTTTTTCACGAATCCTTTGCAACAAACGGGACGAAGTGCACACGCGCGCGTCGTTGCGAACGCATGCCGGAATCCTTCAAAAACCTTCGGTGCCGGAAGGATTTCTCAATCGAGTTTCCAAAACAAATACAACAACACCAGGTTTCGCAACACTGTTTTGCTAAAGACGCTTACGCGCGAGCTCTTGCGACATCTTAAGAAACCATAGGTTGCTCAAGAGTTTCACAAAATGCTACCAAACGGGCTTCGCGCGCGCGCATGTCGAAATCTGTCGAACGCACTTGCGCGTGTGCCGTCGCGAGAACCCTCTGCAAAAAATGGGACGAAGTGCAGACGCGCGCGTCGTCGCGCGAGTATGCCGAAAACCATCAAAACCAATCGGTTTCGGAAGGATCTCAAAATCGTGTGTCCCAAAAAACTACAAAAAAAAAGTTTCGGAAGGATGTTCAACAAAAGCGTGCGCGCACGCTTTTGCGTCGTCGTCGTCGTCGTGGCCGTCCTCCCTCCTCCCGCGTCGTCGTCGTCATCGTCGTCGCCTGCGTCGTCCTCTGTCTTTCCTCGTGTTCGTCGTCGTCGTTCTCTTTGGCGTCGTGGTCGTTTCCGTCGTCGTTGTCGTCGTGGTCGTCCTTGCTCCTCCTCCCTCGTCGTCGTCGTCGTCGTCGTCCGTCGTCGGCGTCTCGTCGTCGTCCCTCCTATTTCGTCGCCGTCGTCGTAGTCGTCATCGTTGTCGTCGTCGTCTTCCCTCCTCCCTCGTCGTTGTCGTCGTCGGCGTCGCCGTCCTTCCTCCTTCTTCGTCGTTCGCATCGTCGCCGTCCTCCCTCCTCCCTCGTCTTTGTTGTCGTTGTCGTCGTTCTCGCCGTCGTCGTCCTCCCTCCTCACTCGTCGTCGTCTTCGTTGGCGACGTCGTCGCCGCCTTCGTCGTCGTCGGCGGCGTCGGCGTCGTCGTCGTCTTCGTCGTCGTCGACGTCGGCGTCGTCGTCGTCGTCGAAGTCGTCGGAGACGTCGTCGGTGTCAGTCGTCGTCGCCGGCGTCGTCGTCGTCGTCGTCGACGTCGCTGTCGTCGTCGGTGTCGTTGCCAAATGCCATGTGGTACATACCGTCACGGTCTTAAAGAGGTTTTGCAAACCAAGTTGCGGGTGGGAGGGTGGGGTGTTTGAACGAGCAGTGGAGCTGGTCAAGCGCTGTGCAGGGTAGTCAATTATCCATTCTATTCTCCTTTCTAAAAACAGAATAGACTCTATCCCCCCTCGGAATTATCGCTACCCCTTTCGGGTATGTAAATCACATATGATTATGACTACATGTTCATCCTAAATATAAAAAACGTAATGTCCCAGGCCAACCGGGTTCCCCCCCCTGAGGTTCCCTCGTAACAAAAACTATGCGGCGACATTTTTTGTTATAACATAACACTTTTTCGCGAATCCCGATCAAAAAGTGGGACGAAATGCGCACGCGCGCGTCGTCGCGCGCGCATGCCAGAATCCTTCAAAAACCTTCGGTGCCAAACAAAAAACCCTATCGAGTTTCCCCCCAAAACTAAAACCTACAACAACACTGATGTGCTAAAACAGCTTCCGCGCGAGCTCTTGAGAAATCTTAAGAAAACCAAGGGTTCAAAATATGTTACAAAAAGCTATTAAACGGGCTTCGCGCGCGCATGTCGAAATCTGTCGAACGCACTTGCGCGTGTGCCGCCGCGAGAATCCTCTGCAAAAAAAGGACGAAGTGCAGACGCGCGCGTCGTCGCGCGCGTATGCCGAACACCATCAAACCCCTCGGCTTCGGAAGGATTTCAAAATCGTGTCCAAAAAACATACAACAACCAAGGTTTCGCAACACGTATTTTCAACAAAAACGTGCGCGCGCGCGCTCTTGCGTCGTCGTCGTCGTCGCCGTCCTCCCTCCTCCCGCGTCGTCGTCATCGTCGTCGCCTACGTCGTCGTCTGTCTTTCCTCGTGTTCGTCGTCGTCGTCCTCTTTGGCGTTGTGGTCGTTTCCGTCGTCGTTGTCGCCGTGGTCGTCCTTCCTCCTCCTCCCTCGTCGTCGTCGTCGTCGTCCGTCGTCGGCGTCTCGTCGTCGTCCCTCCTATTTCGTCGCCGTCGTCGTAGTCGTCATCGTTGTCGTCGTCGTCTTCCCTCCTCCCTCGTCGTTGTCGTCGTCGGCGTCGCCGTCCTTCCTCCTTCTTCGTCGCTCGCGTCGTCGCCGTCCTCCCCCCTCCCTCGTCGTTGTCGTCGTTGTCGTCGTTGTCGCCGTCGTCGTCCTTCCTCCTCCCTCGTCGTCGTCTTCGTTGGCGTCGCCGTCGTCGTCGTCTTCGTCGTCGTCGGCGTCGGCGTCGTTGTCGTCGGAGACGTCGTCGGTGTCGTCGTAGTCGTTGTCGTCGGTGTCGTCGTAGTCGGTCTGAAGAGGTTTTGCAAACCAAGTTGCGGGTGGGTGGGTGGGATGTTTGCAAGAGCGTGGGATGTGTCAAATCATGGGTAAGAATCAAAAAGCATAATGGGATCTACCCCCCCCCGGCGTTATCGCTACCCTTTTTTCGGGTATGTAAATCATATATGATTATGACCACATGTTCATCCCAAACATGAAATCGCAATGTCCCAGGCCAGCCGGGCTCCCCTCCGTGAGGTTCCTTCGTGCAAAACACAATGCGGTGACATTTTTTGTTATAACATAGCACTTGTTCGCGAATCCCTTGCAAAAAAGGACAAGGTGCACACGCGCGCGTCGTCGCGCGCATGCCGAAATCCTTCAACAAAAACCTTCGGTGTCGGAAGGATTTCGCAACCGAGTTCCCAAAAAATGTACAACAACACATGGTTTCGCAACACGGATTTGCTAAAACAGTTTCCGCGCGAGCTCTTGCGAAATGTGAAGAAAACCATAGCTTTTCCAAAAGTCTCACTAAATGCTATTAAGCGGGCTTCGCGCGCGCGCATGTCGAAATCTGTCGAACGCCCTTGCGCGTGTGGCGTCGCGAAAATCCTCTGCAAAAAAATTGACGAACTGCAGACGCGCGCGTCGCGGCGCGCGTATGCCGAAAACCATCAAAACCCATCGGTTTCGGAAGGATCTCAAATCGCGTGCCCAAAATACCTACAAAAGCACAAGGTTTCGCAACACGGATTCTCAACAAAAGCGTGCGCGCGCGTTCTTGCGTCGTCGTCGTCGCCGTCCTCCCTCCTCCTGCGTCGACGTCGTCGTCACCTACGTCGTCCTCTGTCTTTCCTCGTGTTCGTCGTCGTCGTCCTCTTTGGCGTCGTGGTCGTTTCCGTCGTTGTCGCCGTGGTCGTCCTTCCTCCTCCTCCCTCGTCGTCGTCGTCGTCGTCCGTCGTCGGCGTCTCCTCGTCGTCCCTCCTATTTCGTCGCCGTCGTCGTCGTCGTCGTTGTCGTCGTCGTCGTCTTCCCTCCTCCTTCGTCGTTGTCGTAGTCGACGTCGCCGTCCTTCCCTCTTCGTCGTTCGCGTCGTCGCCGTCCTCCCACCTCCCTCGTCGTTGTCGTCGTTGTCGTCGTTGTCGCCGTCGTCGTCCTTCCTCCTCCCTCGTCGTCGTCTTCGTTGGCGTCGCCGTCGTCGTCGTCTTCGTCGTCGTCGGCGTCGGCGACGTTGTCGTCGAAGTCGTGGGAGACGTCGTCGGTGTCGTCGTAGTCGTTGTCGTCGGTGTCGTCGTAGTCGGTCTCAAGAGGTTTGGCAAACCAAGTTGCGGGTGGGTGGATGGGATGTTTGCAAGAGCGTGGGATGTGTCAACTCATGGGTAGAAGTCAATTTTCACCACATAGATTGCACCGCGGCGATCGCAAGAAGTCACTTTTGGGGGCCCACGCTGGCTAACATCTCGTGGCTGGGCTATGACGGACAATTGCTTGAAGATGTCTGCGCTGCGGCTATAGGGCGGCAGCTCGACGGCCACGACACGAACGTTGATGCACGTCCAAGATGAATAGGAACTGGATGCGTGAGCATGTCATGCCTGCCAGACGCGTGCGATACACGCGCCTTTTGTCGACCTCTCCACGCCACACCACGAGCATCCCTTCCGCACGCCCGCCTCACCCGGTGGCATCGGGCACGTCCGCCTCCACGTCGTCCTCGCGCTCAGCGGAATCGCCGTCCTCCTCTTATGTTGCTCACATCGTACTTAAAAGACCACATCCCAGAAATAATTTCGAGCACCCGGAAAAGAGGCGAAAGAGTATCGAAACAGTGTCGGAACAGTGTCTCCCAGGGCCCGACCCGTGAAAACCCTAGACATTCTGGGTGCTGTTCTGGCGCTCGAAATTCTTTCTTGTGATCAAGGCCAAAGTAGGTTGGAATATCATAATCTCGGCTACACGTAAGAGTGACCCTGGGTAAGAGTGACCTTTGGTGCGCGGCTTGGGGGGGGCCGCGGGGAGGCCAAATCCAGGCGCGCTAGCCGCTGCTACCGCTTCGCGCTCGGCCATCTGGGGGCCCATCTGTGCCCGCACCAAAGGTCACTCCGGCGAAAGGTCACTCTTACGTCCAGTCGATAATGTCGAAACAATGTCGGAACAGTGTCCCCCAGGGCCCGACCCGTGAAAACCCTGGACATTGCGGGTGCTGTTCTGGCGCTCGAAATTCTTTCTTGTGACCAAGGCTAGAGTAGGTTGGAACACTGGGCATCGCTCGGACGTCCGTTCCCTGTGTTTTTGTTCGGTTTCGTGCGTGTTTCTTTCGCCAAATGATCTAGGATGCTCCTCGATGGTCCTCGCCGAAGGAAAAATGCACACGTCTGAGCGATGCCAAGAACATCATAACCCTCCTCGGGCTCGTCGTACGCCTCGAGCTCCACGAAGTCCGCGTCGTCCTCGTAGATGTCCTCGTAGTCGTCGAAGCCCGCGGCGGGCCCCTCGCCCGAGGCGCCCGCCCGCCCCGGCGCGACGCCGTGGGCCCGCAGGAAGGTGGCCAGCGAGAGCGGACGCCCCAGGAACTCCTCGAGGAAAAAAAACGCAGACACAATGAATCGCTGACTCCCAGGAAGATCGGGGGAACACATGGGAAGTGGGGGGGGATACAAGAACCCAGAACAACAATGGGAAAATAGGGGGACTCCTGTTGTTTGTGTGTGTATTTATTGTCCGTCCCAGGGCCCCTTCACCCTTGAAGGGGCCCAAGAACACACAAATCAATTCACACAAATAACAGGATGCCCCAATATTTTCGCACAGGTTCTGGGCTTCTGTCCTCCCCCCCACTTCCCATGTTTTCCCGTATTTTCTGGGGAGTCGACGATGAGTTGTGTCTGTGTGTTTCTTTCCCCCCTGAGCTCCTGCAGCCCGCCCGCCGGGCTCCGCCCCGCCGCGGGCGCCAGGATGCAGCCGCGGAACCTCCGCCCGAGGCCCCCGACGGCCTCTGCGTCCTCCAGGCCGCTCGCCTCGAAGACGGCGAAGGCGTCTGCCGCCAGGGCCTCGGACCACAGGTCCGAGTAGAGCCCACAGCCGCGCTCCGCGTGCAGCGGCCAGCTGTTGAGCTCGTGGTCCCGGGTGCGCGGGGGGATCACCGAGAACTCGGCCTCGATCAGCTTGGCAACGTCCTGCGTCGTCATCTCTCCGTTGGGATCGTACTGCGCGTGCAAGTCCAAATCGACCTGTGCCTGAAAGACCCGGCGCAACATGCTGATCGTGCGATGGAAACTCCGCGAAGAGACGATCGCATCGATTGCTGGCTCCGGAAGTGAATCGCCTGTCTCGACATGACTGGACATGCTGCGCAATGTGGTCTTGTCGAACGCCCACCTCTCCAAGAAATGAGCCGGCATCGACTGTGCGTCGAGCTCCAGGTATGTATCGTCAGCCATTAGGCCGGTCGTCGTGTTAGTCAGCAAGGTCCTCAAAGCGCCTCCCATCGTGTGGAAGAGCTTGGCAACATCTCTGTGCGTGAGGAGAGCAACGTCGCCTTCTTGGCGAGGAGGGAGGAAGTCGCACACTATGGTCACAGCCGCCTTCCGAGCGCCGGCCTCGGTGAAGTTGTCCGCTAGGGGGGTGATGGTGGAGCGGTGCTGTATAGGCTCGACGGCAAACCCCGGCTTCTTGCGCCACCTCCTGCTGTAGGGATCAATGAAAAGCGAGCTCATGACCACTCCACTGTCCTCGTCCACTAGCCGGTAGAAGATCACGTGCGGGTCCCACTTGGACTCAGCCGGCGCCTCCTCCCTCACGAACCGCACGCCGAAGAGGCGCCGCAGCAGCCCGAAGAGGCCGTCGAGCACCGTCGGCAGCTGGAAGAAGTCCCGCAGGTAGCCCTCGCTCAGCCCGAGCCTGCTCTCGAGCAGCCGCTCGCGCCAGTACTCGAGGTCGAAGTGCTCCAGCTGGTGCCCGGCGCCCTGGGAGGTGGCGAACTGCTGCAGCTCGGCGAGCTGCCTCCGGGCCACAGGGAGGCTCTCGCGGCGCAGCCTGCCCAGGAACGCGTAGACCTGCTGCTTGGTGCCCATCTTCAGCGTGAACGCCAAGTCCGCGTACGTCGGGAAGCCAAGCAAGTTGGCGTACTTCAGGCGCTCCCCCAGCAGCTTGTCCAGCATCTCCGTGGTGTCGCCGTCGCCGGTGCCCCCAGTGTACCCAATGCGAGCGTGAGTGGAATAGACGAAGTCTCGGAATTTGCGTTGGGTGGCGTGCCTCAGAATGGGCTCGACCATAGCCGGAACATGCATCACCAACCAAGGACCCGTCTCTGGAGTGGACGCGGGGTAGCCACGGTGCACGGCAGCATTGGACATGTCTTCCCGCAGGAACTGAGGGAGCCCTGCGATATCGTTGACATCTCTGACCAGGAAGGCCCTCTTGTCAGTCTCGATGCGCACGAGATCCTCCCATTCGAGAGCTATGTCCATGAAATTTTGTCTGCAACTCATTGCCTGTACGAACTCGTCCGCGTTATTCCGTGCCCAGCCCCACTCGTCCAAATTCACACCATCCAGCTCGAATCCGCCGACCCCCGCCTGGAAAAGGGAAAGGGCCGCATCGTGTGTACGGCCTGTCCCCCCCCCCCCTCCGACAGTCCCCCCTCCCCAGGGGTCCAAAGCTATGTTTGAGGGGCAGAGGAGACGGCGCGCGAGATGCCTGGCTTTCCTCCCCCCCCCCCTGCTCCCTGTCTCCAGGGGTCCGACATATTCTGTTTGATGGGAGTGCGAGCTCATCAGCGCGCCCCCTGGGCACTCTGGGCCCGCTAAGATCGCCGACTGGGCTCTCGACACCCTGCAAAATATGATTGGTGTCTCCAGTGGGGTCCCTTGCTATTCTGGGTGGCTTCGTCAACAGCCCAGGATTGCCCAAGCTGGGGCATGACAGCTTCCACCATGGCCACAGCACTGCCCCGACATACCCGCATATTGCTAGGCAGAGAGCCCTATAGAGAAGCCACAGCTAACCACAGTGGCGTTGTTCGTTCTTATGGATTCAGCACGTCCTACTTTTCGGGTGGAAGCGGCCCCAAGACGACCTCCAGAGGCCTCCGAGACGGCCCAAGAGGCGCGCAAGCGGCTCCCAGACGGCCCAGGACGCCTTCCATGCAAGATGGCCCCATGACGACCCGAAGGTGGCCACACATCCCTTCCACTGGTCTCCGAGAAAGCTCCAAGATACCTCCAAGACCCCCCCGAATCGTGCCCCCCAGGTGGCCCTGAGACTCGCCGAAGCGGTCCCGAGACCTCCAAGGGACGCCCAGAAGGCCCCCCGAAAGGTCCGCCATCGGCCTTTCAAAAAATCCCCCATAACGCCGTGTAGCCAATGATCCCATCATCGAAGAAACCAAGAGGTACCGATACCTCTACTTCCCGGACCTCTCCCGGGGTGCGTTCTGGCTAGAATTTCGAGGCGGATCCAGCGGTGGCGACGAGAGCCTCCCAGGAGGCCCCAAAAAGCGGAACATGGCCGAAGGGTAGAGGTATGGGTACCGTTCCCCTCTCTGAATCATGGCCAGCGGAATGGCGCAAGCCTCGAGCACAGTATCATGTGGGCGGCACCAGCACGGCGCTCGGCCTCGTCTTGTGACCACTGCGCGAACCGCTTGAAGTGAGGCATCAGCGCATGGTTGCGCCGCAACCGTCGCAAACACTCGTTCCTCACACGCACAGCGTGCTTCCATGCCCTCACCATCTTCGGAGAATTGTCGACGTAGTCCTTCAGGAACGTTGCTGCCCTGTAGGCTCTCTCTATCTTGTCCTGCATCATCTCGAGCCGATCCAGAAGGAAATAGGGCTCCACCCAATCTTTGGTATCACGATTGACGACCCCGAAGTTGTCCAACACCGCCACCAGTTCCATCCCTGAGGAGTGGCTCGCATGGTCCATGGCCCTGCCCACATGCTCCGGCCGCACGTCCCGGTAGGGCGGGAACTCCGAGGCCTCGAGGGTGAGGATGTTGTTGCCGTGCCGCAGATTCTTGACGATCGGCTCCCCGTTGGCGAGGTCTGGAGGCGCCTCCCAGTCCTTCCCCTCGCGCCGCCACACGCGGGCAGACCTCGGGGATCTACTGATCCGGGCTTATCCAAACCCATGGTCAGTCGGGCCTTGCAAGATCCTGCGAGATACTGCAATCTACTGCAGGATCCTGCGCCCAAGCCCGGGTGCGTGCACCTCTGGCCCTGCAGGATCCTGCAAACTCTGGCGCTCTGACTGACCCCCGTTTGCCTTGACCCACCGTCTCTTGAGCCCCGAAGACCTCGGCTACACGTAAGAGTGACCCTAAGCAAGAATGACCTTTGGTGCGCGACTCCACGGGGGACGCGGGGGGGCCAAACCTGGGCACGCAAGCCGCGGCTACCGCATCGCGGTCGGCGGTCGGGGAATCCCAAAAAGGGCCCGCACCAAGGGTTACTCCGGCGAGGGAGCTCTCTTCCGTGCAGCCGATCCCTCCCCTCGCGCCGCAACGCGCAGGCAGACCTCTTCTGGCGCGGCCCAACTGACACCGAGAAAACCATCCCCTTCCGTGACGTCGTCCTCGCCTTTCGATCTCCCCTCCGGCCGCACAGTCTTGGGGCGAGGCGAGGGACACGCCACGGAGCGGGATGGCTTGCTGGGCGTCGGCGAGGCCTGACCCGGGCCAATCCAGACCCGGGTCAGTGATGCCTTGCAGGATCCTGCGAGATCCTGCACCCAAACCCTGGTCAGTGCGACAAATCCGGCACATTCCTGCAGGATCCTGCACCCAAACCCGGGCCACTGCGACCCTGGCCCTGTAGATAGGATCCTGCAAGACCGGGCGCTCTGGCCGACCCCCGTGTGCGTGGACCCCCGTCTCGAGGCTCCCCAGACATGCGACGTCCTGATTGTTTCAGGACGGCGTCCCTGGAAGCCCCGACTCTTTCCCCGGGACCGGTTTCTCGACCCGAGTCCCTTTTCGACGCTCCCGAGGGCCGGCGAGGGCCCCCCCGGGGCCGACACTAGCAACAGGCCTCCCGTCCTAATTTTTTCTTTACGACTGGAGGGCTCCTAGATGGGGTCGGAATAGGTGGGGTCGGAGGATCGCGCCGCATCGGCTTAACATCCGCGATGCATCGGTGATGCATCGGCGATGCACCGGCGACGCATCGTCGATGTCTGCGATGCATCGGCGACGTCGACGTGAAGCACATCAAGCTCCACATCGAGCCGCATCGCCGATGCATCGGCGATGCGGCGCGATCCTCCGACCCCATCTACTCCGACCCCATCCAGGAGGCCTAGAACGACGCGATCGGGTCTGGCTCCCGAGAGCCTCTGCAGCTGCCGCTCCCGCTCCCGCTTGCCCTCCGCGTAGCCCTCCACGGCCCTCGCCATCTCCTCCACGGCGCTCCGCGGCAGCGCCCGGGCCCCGGCGGGCCCCCGGACCGCGGCGCCGGGCCCGGGCCGCCGCGGGCCCGCCGCCAGGAGGCCGCACCTCGGGGCCGCGCCGCCAGCGCCAGCAGGAGGGCAGCGGGCAGAACCGGGGGGGGAGGGGGGGGGGGAGGAGCGGGAGGGGAGGGGGCGGGGAGGGGGGAGGGAGAGGAGGAGGGAGAGGGGGCATGGGGGGCCAGGGAGGGAGGGGGGAGGAGAGAGGGAGGCAAGGGGGGGAGGCAGGAGGGGGGCGGGCCAGGGAGGGGGCGGGAGGCGGGAACCGGGGGGCGCGAGGTCTGGATGGCACGACCCCCACGAAGAGGCCGATCTGGCAGAAGGACCGCGGGGCGGGGGGGCTGTGCGCTGAAATGGCCTCCCCCGTGGGGAGGCGGTGTCTGTACACCACCCCCGCAAAGAAGCTGGTCCGGGACAAGGTACGCGGTAGGGGCGGTGGTCATACATCGGCCCCGAGGACAGGGAACAGGAGGAGGAGGAGGAGGAGGAGGAGGAGGAGGAGGAGGAGGAGGAGGAGGGTCGATTTTACCCGACCGCGCTCAACAAGATACTCGCAGCCTCACTCTCCGAGGCGATGAGCAGGAAATTAATGGCAACACTAACCACAGAAGAGTGGCACATCGGGGATGCGTACTCATCATTATACACGCCACTCGACCCGTACTCCGAACTCGGACACAGCACGGATTGCACGAACCACCGCCGCCTCGTCCAGACCGACCAGCATACCACATCAACCTAGCACAGCAAGCTCCACGACCTCCGACTGCCACGCCATAGCCATACCACGACTGACTAGGACTAATCGGCCAACCGTGCGGCACACATAACTCGGGGCTTGTCCCCTGATAGGCACTAAACATGGAGCTACGTATACCAGGGGTTCCCTTACGGGGAGGGTGTCCCCCTCAGTCGACCATTGACAGACTGGAGCGACCACACAGGGTGAGAAGACCCCATCTATCATATTACCATTAGGTCGGGCGTGCCCTCCGACAGGGGGATTTCGGACGGAGAATACAACATAGTCAAATTAGCCTGGCGAAGGACCCAACCATATGCAGTTGAGAGTACCGCAATTGTGAATATCTTCTTCGGTGGCGCTCCCTATGGGGCCACGAGCCGTATGAGGGGTGTGCCGAAATGCGCGGCAGTGTACACAACACGAACGAAGACGATAGGTCCGAATATGAAAGCTTGAGCGCGTGTGAGTCGGATCGCGAGCGAGTCTGATTATGAATGAATCTGCGCGCGATTGATTCTATTCGCATGAATGCGTGCATGGATACGCCCAGTGTAAATGTATGTTTACGACTGTGAACAGTTTGGGTCTGCGTGACTCTCGGTACTCGTGACTCTGAGCGTCGCCTCTGCAGGGGGCTTCCCTGGGAACCCCGACGGCAGCGCCCGCGCGCCGCGACGCCCATGTCGGCACGCCACACACCTGGTGTGCGGGACGCATGCGGACGGCAGCACTGGGGCCTTCGGTGGATCTCCCTGTGGGGCCACGAAACGTGTGACGCGGGGTGCGGACGGCAGCACTGGGGCCCGAAATGGGTGTGCGGGACGCATGCGGACGGCAGCCATGGGGCCTTCAGCCTTCGGGTGGAGCTTTCCTAGGAGCTCCCTGTGGGGCCACAAACGTGTGAGGGTGTGCCGAAATGGGTGTGCGGGACTCAATGCGACGGCAGCCATGGGGCCTTCGTGGGCTACCTATGGTGCCACGACGCGTGTGGGGGTTGCCTAAATGGGTGGTGTGCGGAACGCATGCGGACGGCAGCACTGGGGCCTTCGGTGGAGCTCCCTGTGGGGCCACGAAACGTGTGAGGGGTGTGCCGAAATGGGTGTGCGGGACGCATGCGGACGGCAGCCATGGGGCCTTCGGTGGAGCTCCCTATGGGGCCACGAAACGTGTGAGGGGTGTGCCGAAATGGGTGTGCGGGACTCATGCGGACGGCAGCCATGGGGCCTTCGGTGGAGCTCCCTATGGGGCCACGAAACGTGTGAGGGGTGTGCCGAAATGGGTGTGCGGGACGCATGCGGACGGCAGCACTGGGGCCTTCGGTGGAGCTCCCTGTGGGGCCACGAAACGTGTGAGGGGTGTGCCGAAATGGGTGTGCGGGACGCATGCAGACGGCAGCCATGGGGCCTTCGGTGGAGCTCCCTATGGGCCACGAAACGTGTGAGGGGTGTGCCGAAATGGGTGTGCGGGACGCATGCGGACGGCAGCCATGGGGCCTTCGGTGGAGCTCCCTATGGGGCCACGAAACGTGTGAGGGGTGTGCCGAAATTGGTGTGCGGGACGCATGCGGACGGCAGCACTGGGGCCTTCGGTGGAGCTCCCTGTGGGGCCACGAAACGTGTGAGGGGTGTGCCGAAATGGGTGTGCGGGACGCATGCGGACGGCAGCCCTGGGGCCTTCGGTGGAGCTCCCTCTGGGGCCACGAAACGTGTGAGGGGTGTGCCGAAATGGGTGTGCGGGACGCATGCGGACGGCAGCACTGGGGCCTTCGGTGGAGCTCCCTATGGGGCCACGAAACGTGTGAGGGGTGTGCCGAAATGGGTGTGCGGGACGCATGCGGACGGCAGCACTGGGCCTTCGGTGGAGCTCCCTGTGGGGCCACGAAACGTGTGAGGGGTGTGCCGAAATGGGTGTGCGGGACGCATGCGGACGGCAGCACTGGGGCCTTCGGTAGAGCTCCTTATGAAGCCACGAAACGTGTGAGGGGTGTGCCGAAATGGGTGTGCGTGACGCATGCGGACGGCAACCATGGGGCCTTCAGTGGGAACCACGAAACGTGTGAGGGGTGTGCCGAAATGGGTGATGACGATGACGATGACGACGATGACAATGACGATGCTGATGATGATGATGATGATGATGACGACGACGATGATGATGATGATGATGATGATGATGATGAGGATGATACGAGGGGAGAGGAGGCGGAGGAGGAGAGGAGGAAGAGACGCGGGGCACCGTCTCTTCAAAACGAGGACCCAACACCACAGGATGGTTGGGAATAATTATGATGGGATAATGATGATCCGTCTTCTCTACATCAATTTGGCCAGGGAAACTTGATGTTGACAGCGTGTGTTTTGTTCCTCGTCTCCGAGGCTTGTAGTATCAGACTTTGGGAATCATGAAAAACAAACGATAAGAACTTTATTGCCCATTCTCTATTTGGTCTCCCCCGCGCACACTCGAAGGCAACGTGACCCGCATGATAATGTGCAGCGCAGGAGTGTTAGGGCTCTGGCCCCTGTTCTCGAATAGCTGATGGCTCGCTCCAAAACAGTCTTGTTTGATCTTCTAAATTTCAAAACTTCCACGAAACATTTCACTTGCAAAATGTCCAAGTATCATTGTTCCGCTTTGTTTAACCACGCCGAATTGAGGGAATACATGTTTTTATGTGTGATCATTGCCTGGTAGATTTGCAGCTGCCTTTTGACAATGATTGATTTATGTTTCTATCTTTTTGTATATCTGCAGAACTCCCCCAAGGCTGCTCCAATCCTTTGTTTAATGTTGCATGTATGTGCCTAGTTGTGTTGATTGTAGCCCTGAGGTGCACTAAATTGTTGTTTGCCCGTATATCTTGAAATGAAGACGATGCAACTCCATGCCAACTTGCCCTCCAACTTGCCCCCACGTTTTGCTGGCTTCTGCCATTCATCAACGGATCGTCTGCGTACAACAGAATTGATACCAGATCAATTTCATACAATAAATTCGAATGTTCACTAACGAGCCCACCGCATCGTGTATCACCACCACACATCACCAATATGAACAAGAACGGGGACACAGAGCACCGGGCGCATGACCCAAATTTTGCCTCTTGTTTTACTTCTGTCCCCCATCTGCGACACAACATATTTTGTTGTGATATTATCTATGCTTTCGAATGCCAAAACAAGCGCGGGGCAATTAATTCACCCTGGAGAGAAGCAAATGAAGAACGATTGGGTTAATCATCGTGAATATGATGAAGCGTAATATAAAACTGTTGGACGCGAGATCTCGGTGCAAAAATCCCATAATATGGAATGTCAAAATTGCGTTCCCCAAGAGCGTTCGCAAACCCGGGTTCCGGCTTCTTCGGATGGTTGGTTAGTTTCATTTTCATACGTCATTACTCCGAGTGCGCGAACGCTGCCACGCCCAAAATTGCGGGTTTCCCTCCTCTTCGGGTTTCGTTCCTGCTTTTATTTTTTCTCTTCCTTTCCACAAGCAATTTGAAGGAACCAAGTTCCTCAACGATCCATTCTTGAATCTCCACTTCCATTGTCTGGTTTCCCGGTGCTGTTAAATTCAACATGGAAAGATAGAAAACCTGGAGCCGGTAAAAACAAATCCCGATTCAAAAACACGCGTGAAAATATACAAAAACCGATTTGGGTGGATACGGACATCGGTTTGGGCAAATACGGAAACCGATGGACATCGATACGGAAACCTGTAGGCGGATATGGAAGCCAATGGATACGGAAACCGGTACGGATGGATGCGGAAACTGTTGTTCAAAAGCGGAACCCGTCTTTCGGATAAGGAAATTAATGTTTGAATGCCGAATCGAATCCGTTTCTTTTCGTACTTGTACCCTTCAATTTGACGATCCGATGGCACCGACATTTAAGGGGAATGCTGGCTTTGGACCGTGGCACAACCTCGATGACCGTGGACGACGGTTGATTTCTTTTGCTGTCCAGCACTGCTGCCCACACAATATGCGCCCATTCTTGGATTTGCGATGTTTTTTTCATCGCGAACAGTTTCCCGTTGCCACGTCCTGGCCGACACGACTTCTCCAAGAGCATTGCGTCTGGCGGTGGTCTAAGGAGGGTCTCTTTCCTCTTCAAACCTTCTCTCTTTCGGGGAGGGCCCCTCCCCTCGCTGAAGGTTTTCGGGGGGGGGGGGGTCGCGACGAGTTAAAGCCTCTTTTTCGGGCCCCTGGGAGGGCCAATTTTTGACACCCCTCACGAAGATCGTTGCCCCCGAAAGGGGGGCAAAGATAGAGGACACTCCTTTTCATCGATAGCCTCGAAAATGGCCCCAAGAGGCCCTCCCTCTTTCTCTCCCTCCCCGTCAGCTCTCATGGCCATCGTTTCTAGATGGGCTGGTGGGGATACATGTTGGTCGCGAGCGCAAGCGGTACGGCCGCGCGCCGTCAGAACAAAGCAACAATGCAACGGCCTAAATTACGCACCTGTGCAACAGGAGCGGGCTGCGGCTCAAGAAATTCTGGTGGGATACTTTCTTGGTCGGCGGCTCCAAGGCAACGGTCAGGGAGCGGAAGCGGCGTCCTGGATGCGGTACGGTGCGAATTTGCGAACACGGCCGCCAATGTCGGCAAGCCAGTTCGCACCTGCAAAACAAGCTCGCAGCTGCACATGCACAGAACAAAGTGAACTAAATTCACAAGCTAACGCACATAGGCGCAGCAGCGTGAACCGAAGTAAACGAGCTGCAAGGGGGTAAGCGAAGACAGCGGAGTGAGTCCGGTTCGGCGCCAGACTCCAGGCCACCTGCCCACGCCGAACGGCTGTACGGTGTAACCGGGCTGAGCGCGGAGGAAGACACAGGGCTGCGCGAGCGCGGAAGGCTGAACCACTCAACGCTGTGTCCTCAGAATCCTCCAACCAGCCGGGGGGGCCAGCGGCAACCCAAGGCGCACCGAGCCCGGCACCTGAAGCCGAAAGGCCCGCTGGCGGCCGAGACGGTGCGCGGGGGAAACCACAGGCTGTACAGGTGGAGGCTGAACCACTCAGAGCCAGGCCCTCCGAAGCCCAAGCCCAACTCCCAGTGCCGATGGGAGCCAGCGACAGCCCAAGGCGAAGCTGGTGGGATACGCGAAAGATCATGAATTTATGGAACCTCTGCATTGCATTTCGGCGTGTAAGAATCCTGACTGAAACAAATCGCTGCACATGGTTGGTCAATAAATTATTGCCCAATCAGAACATGACAATGGGACATAATATCGACGCCATCGCGCAAAAACAACTCTCGGAAGCGGCTACCAACATTGACCGGCAATAACTGGGCGGCAGTGCGGCTTGCCACAAAATGCAGCCCATCTCCGAGGACCGATTTTCGAGAGCATCCGACCGCCACCAGCTGTGCGCGAAGCTGTGGCTAAATTCCGACGCGTAATGGATAGAATCTCTATTGGAGTTGGTGACCCTACAATCGTGGCACATGTGGAACGACAGCGTGGTCGGCTCCAAATGTACATATCTTCTGGGCAGCCTCTGGGAACCAGGACGTTATCAGCATAACCGATTGCTTGGAACTGCTCAACGAATTCGTCCCGAACTTCAGTGCAACGACCCTAGGTGCAAGTGGTGCCGCAAGGAATTCATTTGGTCCCAACCTAGTGGAGGAGAAGGAACATCTCTCTTCTCTTCACACTGCATGTTTGCTGCTGTGCTTCTGCGCAGTCCCAAGGCTCAACCACTCACTTCGCGCCACCCAGCCCGATTCGACAAAAATTGCCACTGCAGCACGCGACAACAGTACTGCCGCGAATGTTCGGAAGATCTTCGGCATTACACACCTGGGATCCGGACTTTCACGACGCCCTCTGCGATGCATAGGCAGCACAAGCAAGACTACCTCTACGATACGGTGGCGTTGGATTGCTGGAGTTGGTACTTCTGGGCCCTCACCTTCTCGGGAGCGGCCAAGAGGGGGGTGTCAAAGAGGGGGGGTGCAAATCATGACCGGCGGCATGTGCGCAGCCCAGCCGGGGGGGGCCAGGGACGTCATGAAATAAGAAGAGGCGCCATGAAATCTGGGGAAAAATCATGGCCCCCGCCATGATATCCTTCCCCCTAGTCATCACTCCCCTCTTTTCCGCCCCCGACCTTCGCACGAGACCCCGAATGCAGACGGACGCCCTGGCCGAAGCCGACAGGCCGGGTCGACCCTCCGAGGCCCAGACCTGATGAAAAACCAAACGCTATCGCACGCCGGAGCGCGACGAACCGGGGCCTATGCTCATCAATGCATCGGGAGAGCGCAAACATGGATTAGCGATGCATGGATTTGACGCGCGGTCGCCGAGTCCATGGATCGGGGGAAGTGCCCTCCCAAAAATGCTGTCCGGGCCGCCTCGTTCGGCGGCGGAAATCCACGATTTCCCATGGAAAGGGGACCCGTCGCTAATCCATGCCCCCTTGATCAATGTTTGCGATCGCCTGAATGCATCGGGCGGTACTGGTTTCAGCTCCTTCGGCTTTGCGCAGCGGTTGCAACCCTTGCGCGATGCCAGGCGTTGCGCGAAACGTTCGGACCGGCGTGCGGAATATTTAAGAGAGCGCGCGAGCGCATGCCAACCAGCCACAGGGGTGGAAGCCCAGGGGGACGAGGGGAGAGGGGGGCACTGACGGGCAAGGACGAGAGTGATCATAGCTTAACCGACCCCTATCCACACTGGCGTGACCTGGGCCCCACTGGCCGATTTACCCTCTCGGAGGTCCGCGCGGATTTCTCGGATCGGCGCTGGATCTGCATAGTTTCCCCCGGGGCCGTAGGCGACCCGAGGAGGAAGAGGAGAGGGAGGAGGAGGAGGAGGAGGGAGGAGGAGGAGGAGGAGGAGGAGGAGGAGGAGGAGGAGGCGGAGGAGGAGGAGGCGGAGGAGGAGGAGGAAGAGGAGGAGGAGGAGGGGAGGAGGAGGAGGGGGAGGAGGAGAGGAGGAGGAGGAGGAGGAGGAGGAGGTGGAGGAGGAGGAGGGGGAGGAGGAGGGAGGAGGAGGAGGAGGAGGAGGAGGAGGAGGAGGGAGGAGGAGGAGGAGGAGGAGGAGGAGGAGGAAGAGGAGGAGGAGGAGGAGGAGGAGGAGGGGAGGTGGGAGGGGGAGGCGGGGGAGGTTGAGATAGGAGGAGGAGGAGGAGGAGGAGGAGGAGGAGGGAGGAGGCGGAGGAGGAGGGAGGAGGAGGAGGAGGAGGAGGAGGAGAGGAGGGGAGGAGGAGAGGAGGAGGAGGGGAGGGGAGGGGGAGGAGGAGGGAGAGATGGAGGAGGACGAGAGGAGGGGACGAAGAGTGGAGGAGGAGGAGGAGGAGGAGGAGGAGGAGGACGGGGAGGGGGAGGGGGAGGGGGAGGAGGGGAGGAGGAGGGGGAGGAGGGGGAGGAGGAGGAGGAGGAGGAGGAGGAGGAGGAGGAGGAGGAGGAGGAGGAGGAAGAGGAGAAGGAGGAGGAGGAGGAGGAGGAAGAGGAGGAGGGGGAGGAGGAGGAGGAGGACGCGAGGGCCTGCAGGTGTCCGCAGCAGGAGGAGGAGGAGGAGGAGGAGGAGGAGGAGGACCGTCGAACATGTAGGGTAAGTTCGAGCGGCGTCGGCGCGCGCAAAGGTTTTTGACACCGCGTCGATCGTTTAAACTTGAATCGATGGCAGCCCCGATCGTTCAAGGTTGAATCCAATCGGGTCCAATAGCGTTACCGTCCATCGGTGCTTCCGCGTCGCAGAATTCAACCTTGAGCGCCTTCGCCTGCGTCGCTGTCGCGCCAACGCCGCATGAACCTACCGTACAGTCGAACTTGATTGGACAGGACACCCACGGCAAGACTCTTCTCAACGTGGCCCCAAAACACCACAGAGGACATGCGGCTTGCACAGGTCGGGACGAACAGGACACAGGGGTGCCCTCGACCTGGCATGGTCGACCTACTGATGAAGGCCGACTGTATGTCCATGCCATGTTTTCGTCTTCGACTCGGGCCGGCGCCTGCCGCGCACGTCTGCCGGGGCCACGGGTCATGCGTCCTCGCCCTCGTCCGCCATGAGGTCCATGAGCCCCTGCAGCTCCGCCCGCAGCTCCCGCACGCTCGCCGGCGGCTCCGCGCGGCCCAGCGGCCCGCCCAGCGCCGTGCTGGGGCCGAACGCGCCGGGGGCGCCCTCGGGCTCGTCGGAGGTGGCCGACGAGGTGGCGGCCTCGGAGCCCGTCTCCTCTCGGGGATGGACAGACCCCCCTTTAGTAAAACGTGGTTTAGTGAAAACGATCTGAGGCCCTAACCTGGCGGGCGCAAGCCTGGAAAATCACGGCCACGGTGCCCTGTCGAGAACCGAAAACGGACAATTCACTAATCGACGTGTCACTGTTGGGGGTTCTGTCCAACCCCGATCCTCCTCTTTCTGCACGCCCAAAGTGGGTACGGAACAAACTGGCACGATGCCCAACAGCAGCCAGCGTCCAAGTCCAACAGCGGTCGCTGGTGGGCAGGCGGCCTTCTGCCTCGAATGGGCAACTTCCGCGGCGACACCGACATCGAGTCCCGATCGAAATGGACAGGCATTAGAGACCTCCTAGATGAGGTCCGAGTAGACGTGGTCGGAGGATCTCGCCGAATCGCCGATACATCGGCGACGCATCGCCGATGCATCGGCGATGCATCGGCGATGCACTGGCGACGTCGGCGGTGCATCGGCGACGTCGGCGTGGAGAAAATCGGGCCCCACATCGAGCCGCATCGCCGATGCATCGCCAATGCATCGGCGATGCGGCGAGATCCTCCGACCCCATCTACTCCGACCCCATCTAGGAGGCCTAGAGGCATCACCCTCGGTCTTCGTACAGTAGGGGCCCTACCACAAGAAGCCCTCCACAAGAAACCCAACCCTGAGACCCCATGCCGCCCATTGATTCTTGGTGTGGGAACGTCACGCTTCCATCGCAAAACCATCGACACCCGAGAAACCCAGGGCGCCCCGGAGGCAAGCGGGGTGCCTCTTGGCATAGGCCCCCACTGCAGATGCATTGCGGTCGGTCTTCGTGCGCATTCTTTCCGCACCCACGTCGATCGTACCGATCCTCTTCCTCGTCCTCGCTGGCCTCGGCGTCTGGGGCGTCGCTCTCGTCGCTCCCCTCCGCCAGGCCCTGCCCAGCCCCGTGCCGGGGCGGCCTCGCGACGGCCCCGAAGCCGCCCCGGGCGAGCAGGTCCAGCGCGGCCGCGCCACGGGGCGGGGCGCCCGCCGGCGTCGGGGGGCGCGACCTGGCCAGCGCAGACGCGGCGGCGATGCCGGCGGCGCTGAGCTTCAGACCGGCTGGTGGGGGAGCGAAGAAGGGCGCATGAACAAACAAACGCGGAGGTCCGCGCGGATTGCTCGGATCGGCGCTGGGGCCCCCTGGCGGCGCCTCCGGCGCCGCGCGCCAGGGAGGGGGGTCCAGCGCGGATCCACGAAATCCGCGCGGAACTCCGAGTTTTGTATGTTCATGCTTTTTTGTGCGTTCCCCTAGCTGGGCCGCCTGGCACGGCGCTGCCCGCGGTGTCCCCGCCTTCGCCCACCGCGCGGGCCATGAGCTGGTCCTGGCACTTTCTGCAGGTGCACACGAAGCCCCAGGTGCGCCAGAGGGTGGCGAGGCGCTCGTCCAGGGGCTTCGAGGGGGAGACGTAGGCCAGGTGGAGCTCGCCCCCCTCCTCCACGTCGCGCAGCGCCACCATGGTCGCGATCGCGCCGTCAGTGAATCGCATGTCGAAGTTCGGCAAGCACGAGTGGTTCGACAAGGCCATGCAAGCGAACAACGCGCTGCCCTCGAAACGGCCCAGGCGCCAGCCGCCGCATCCGGCATCCACCTTCTGGTCAACTGGTGGCTCATCATCGTCGTCGTCAGCCGCCTCCTTAGCTGCTCGGGTCGCCACTTCTAGCAGACGACCGTAGCGCTGCTTGAAAGACTCGTCCTTGCTGCACTCCGCCAGGCGAGAGGCCAGCGGGTGCTCGATTCGCACCCAGACGTTCGAGAGAGAGAACTGCCCGACCAGGTTGGAATAGAAGTCAATGTTGAGCAGCTCAGCGAAGCGCTTCTCCCACAGGAGGGCGGACAGGATCTCCAGCGATTCCGACATCGCCTTGAAGCGCTTGCCCTGCTTGGCCTGAGCGATGCCCGCCAGCGGCCCTCGCCGAGGCAAAGGCTCGCAGGTGGACCTGGACGGCACGCTGACCATGTTCAGCCAGGACATCTTCGCGAAGCGCGTGAAGAAGGCCATGGCCTCGAACAGGTCCACACCGCTGTGCCTCACGAGGCACACGATCTCGGCCATGACCTGTGCGGCAAGGATGAAGACCTCGTGGTGCCTCGCCGCGTGGCGCCTGAAGAGCGCCCACAGCGGCCGCTTCTCCGGCGGCACGTCGACGCACAGGGCGCGGTGCCACCCCTCGCGGGAGGCCGCCGCGGCGCACTCGGGCCCGCAGAAGACGGCGCCGCAGCCGCGCTCGCACGGCGCGCGCCCGCGAAGCAGCCACTCGCCCTCGTCGAGCTCCTGGAGCGCGGGGGCGCCGCCCTCCACGAGGGCCTCCGCGTCCGCCCCGGACGCCGCCGCGGCACGCCGCAGCGCCGAGCCGAGCGAGCCCACGAAACGATGGCATTAGGTCGGGCATTCTCTCCCGCAGACGGATTCTGGCCGAAAAATTCAAAAATATACGCAAGAATACAACAAAATCCCAAAACAAACATCCACACATCACAGACAAATCGCCCCTATACTATGTTATGACTGTGTTTGGAGATTCCTCCTGTAGAGGGACATGCTCGACTTAACGATGGCAGTGGGAGCAGACCTCGCAGACGCGCCGGGAGTCCTGGTACTGATGCACGGCTCGAGGATCCTCAGAGCGCGCGTGTGAGCGCCAGCGTGTGCTCGTCCACCGGAATCCCTTCACAATGCGACGACGACGGTGCCACGAGGGCCGACGCAGGCTGCTTGCTCTCGGCGGCGCTGAACGGGGGGAGGAGGCGGAGGAGGAGGAGGAGGAGGAGGAGGAGGAAGAGGAGGAAGAGGAGGAGGAGGAGGAGGGGGAGGGGGAGGTCGAGGAGGCGGAGGAGGAGGAGGAGGAGGAGGACAAGGAGGAGGGAGTCGAGGAGGAGGAGGAGGAGATGGTGGAGAGGGAGGCACACGTCCTGAGGATCACCGAATGGCCAGGGGAGGCTGCCGCTCGCAGATGGCCCCGCCCTTGGCCACCGCCGCCCCCGACAGCAGCCGCCGCCCCAAGCCGCCGGAGGCCCGCTCTGCTCGCAGCAGGCGGTCGCGGAAGGGTGCGCTGACCTCGCCCAGCCTCCCCGGCCAGCTCCGCGAGCGCTCGCCCTCCCAGTCCTGACTGCCTACCAGACCACCCCAACTCGACCCGAAGGCCCGAACTTCGGGTTTGGGGGGGGGTACGGGTTTCATATGTGCTTTTGTCCAGATGTTCCCCGACCCCCACCCCACTGGAAATGGAGGGCAAATCGGGGCCTTCGGGCTGGGTTGGGTTGGCTTGGTGGGCGATGAAGTCCTGGGGCGCCGACGCGCAGTAGCCCGAAAAACCGTCCCTGAGGCTCGCCAGGCTCGCGTACAGCAGGGGCCGGTGCTCCTCCGGCTCCTCCCCGGCGCCCGCCTGCGACTCCGAGTCCGGGCCCTCGGCGCCCTCCGCGGCGAGCACGGCGAGGATCCTGCGGAGCGCGAGGACCTCATCGGGCTCGCCGCTGCCCCGCTCCATGGAGGACCGCGCGCGGCAGCGGTGTCGGCGTCGCCGTGGCGGGGCGCTGGCGCGGGTGCAGACCTGCCTTGAGCCTCAAGCTGCGGTCCTGTCGTCTCCAGGGGCCGCCCTGGTGGGGCCGCCGCACCGCGTCGCCGACGCATCCGGTGGCTCACTCGTGATGCGCAGCAGCATGCCTGGTCAGAGCCATCCTGGGCCCTGGCATCAGGCAGGTCCCCCTCCAGGCGGGTCTTGGACGAAACATGAAAAATGGTCCAAAAATTTCAAAAATAGCAAAACATGTTGAAAAAAACGTCCCCAGACTGTTGTTGGACTATTTTTGAATATTCCTCCTGTAGAGGGACATGCCCGACTTACGCCTGGCATGGTGTGTACGCCCTCCTGGCCGAGGCCAGGAGGGTCTTTAAAGTATCTTGGGGCCAGGATGGCCCTGGCCAGGCACGGCGGTGGTGTGTAGATGCACTCTGCGGATGGTGTTGTATCGGCAGCGTCGGGACGGAGAACATCGGGCTTTGAATCAGGGCTGGAGCTGAACGTTGTTGTTCGGTTTGTTTTCGTTTTATTATACCTGATTTCCTGTACCTCCCTCCCAAAACGAAAAACAAAACACAGCCGAAGTCCAGCAAAACACCGTTTAAATCCAGCCCTGCATTGAATGGCACCTCATCGCCGATCGGTCTTTAGAGCCCATCTACTCCAGCGCCCTTTGGGTGGCCTGGGGTATCTCTCGTCCCTCTGATGATAGATACGCGAAAGAGAGGGAAGCCGACAACCGACAAACTCCAACATTGTAACAGACGCGTGGTAGTGGGTGCTCTGACGTTGTACCCCATTATGCGGATGTCTTTGTCCTTGTCCTCCTCCTCCTCCTCCTCCTCCTCCTCCTGCTGCCCCCTCCTCCTTCTCCTTCTCCTCCTCTGCGTCGGCTTCTTTCCTTAATCCCCTCCTCCCCCCTCCACCTCAATTGCAGCCTCCTCCACCTCCTCTTCTTCAGAAATTGCATCAGGAACCCATCAAGAACCCAACAGAAATCCTCAAGAATCCATCAGGAATCCCCAAGAACCCATCAAGAATCCATCCGGGATCCATCAGGAATCCATCCGGCATTCATCGGAAATCCGTCGGGAATCCATCAGGTAACCATCAGGAATCCTCATGCATTTCTTAAGGTGTCCACAAGAATTCCCCGGGAATCATGAGGAATTCCCATGGAATTTCGAAAGATCCTCAGGAATCGCGAGGAATGCCTGAAGAATCCTCAAGAATCACGAATTCCCGAGGAATCCTCGGGAATCTCGAGGGTACCTCCAGGGAACCGCTAAGGAACGTCTAACGAACATCTAAGGAACATTTGAGGAGCTCTCAAAGCGGTTGGAATTCGTACCAAGTCTTTGGGATTGGTACCGAAATGGTTGGAATCCGCCCTGGATGGTTGCAAGTTGTCCCATGTTCGAAATGGTTTCCAGGGTATGGAAGGTGATTTTTGTTGGGGTGCCCCCCCCCCCACTGGTTTCCGGGAGGGGAGGGGCCGATTCCTTCGAGCCCAGCACCCGTGAAGCGCGCCCCCTCAGAGCGAGGGAAGGCGCGCGCGCGAGCGGGCGCAAGGCCAGCACGCCCGTCATCCCCGAGAGCTGCAGAGCGCACCGCGCGGAGGAACGGTGCTGGCGAGTGGGTGCAGGCGCTGGGTCCCCCTGCTTCGCGGTCCGCGCCGCGCGACCTGGGGCGCGCGGCCATCTTCGCGCTCCTGTGACGCCCCCGAAAATTAGGTCGGGCATGCCCTCCTGCAGGCGGCTTCTGGAAGAAGCATAAAACATATGGAACAACAACAAAGAGAGCCAAAGATGGTCAAACATCGTCCTCTGACAATTGTTCTACCATCTTTTACCATTCCTCCTGCGGAGGGGCATGCCCGACTGAACCCCAAAGGGGGGAGGTGCCCGAGCCCACGCCGCGAAGCGCGAAGCGCAGCGGACTTCGCGCCCCTGCAGGGACCTCTGGCGGGCGCAGCGAGCAGCGGGCCAGGACTGCACTTGAGTCGGGCATGTCCCTCTACAGGAGGCGTATACAAAAATCGTAAAAGATACACTGGATACGATGTTTTAAACACTATTGAGCTATTCTGGACTATTGTTTCACTATTTTCGTTTCTCGTCCAAGATCCGCCTGTAGGAGGGCATGCCCGACCTAAGACTGCAAACAGGAAAGGGGCTTGGCGACCTCCTCGTTTCATTCTCTTCTCCTCATCATCGCCAGCCGCCTCCTCACGGGTTTTCCCCTCACCCCCAGGGCTCGAGTTAAGCAGTGCTTTCCGTGTTCGTCTTGTTTTCGTCATCCCTGGTTCTGTCTTCGTGCCACACTTGCTGCAAGACGAGGTCAAAACGAGAACGGTCCACGAACTTGCCAAAACACCGTTCAGCTCGAGCCCTGCTCACCCCGTGACGGCACGGCGCTGCCCCTGCAGGCCCCGCGGCCGAAGAAGCGTGCGCGGCTCTGTCTCGTGGTCCGCACGGTGCGCGCGCAGCGGCGGCAGTGGAAATCGGGGCGAGGCGGGCAGAGGTGGCCGCGAAGGTCGTCTCCGGCGCAGCGGGGAGGAACGAGCACACCGCTGCAGAGACAGACAGACAGACAGACAGACAGACAGGCAGGCAGACAGACAGACAGACAGGCAGGCAGACAGACAGACAGTGCCAGACGGACGGACGGACGGACGGACGACAGAGAGAGGGGGAAGGGGTGGGGGGGCAGAACGCCGCGGGTCTCCGCCTCCTCTCCGCCCTCCTCCCCCCCCTCCCCCCTCCCCTCCCCTCTCCTCCCTCCCCCCCTCCCTCCCCCCCTCACGCCTCCGCCCTCCCCCTGCCCCCTCCTCCCTTCCCCTCCCTCCTCCACCCCCCTCCCTCCCCTCCCCCTCCCCCCTCCCCCCTCCGCCGGCCACCTGCTGCCACGCCGCGCCGCGCACACACCGCGCGCGCACGGCCCCGCGCCCCGCGCGGCCGCGGGCCGCCTGCGCGGGCCCTCCCCCATTCGGGGGAGCGCCGCCGCCGGGGGAAGCCGGCGCGAAATGTGCCAGCTTTCCCGGCGCGAGGCGCGCTGGCGCGGCGCGGGGCCTGCGGCCCAGCCGCGGCCGCGGCTGCGGACGGGGCCCCAGGCCCCGCAGCGCCTGGGCGAGAAGAGTTCGCCGGCGAGCGGAGTGGGGGGAAGGGTCAGGTCGGGCATGTCCCCCTACAGGAGGATTTTGGGCGAAAAATCAAAAAAACAAAAAAAAAAAAAAAAAAAAAAAAAAAATAGTCAAGCAAGAATCGAAAATAGTCCAAAATAGTCAAACAAAAATCGTCCCTCGACTATTTTTTAACTATGTTTGAATGCACCCCCTGGCAGAGGGACAGGCCCAACTTCAGGGAAGCGAGAAGGATCAGGCCTCCTCGGAAGGCGGCGGGACTTCACGGAAGCCCTCGCGCCTTCCGAGGAATCGTTGGTTTGTCTTTGAAGGAGGCGCAGAAAACTTCTCAGAAGGCTGGGGGATTTCCGAACCTTCTGAGAAGGTCCTAGGCATGCGACGTCCTGATTTGTTCAGCACGGCGTCCTGGAAGTCCAGAACCTTTCAACGGGGCTGGCTTGTCATCCCGAGTCGGTTTTTGACGGCCCCGTGGACCGGCGAGGGCCCCCATGAGCCGAAAATAGCTAAAAATTATCCCGGCAAAGCAACCTAACAGCGATGTGTAGAAGCATATCTGAAAGCATTCCCCTTAAGATTCAGATGAAAATCCAGTTGTAGAATTCTGCTGTTCTCGCCGTCGTAGTCGCATTCGCGATGACAGTCGCAGCGGCAACGGCAGTCGCAGTCACAGCCTCACCTCAGCCTGCCTCAGCCTCAGCCTCAGCCTGCCTCAGCCTCAGCCTGCCTCAGCCTCAGCCTCAGCCTGCTTCAGCCTCAGCCTCAGTCTGCCTTCAGCCTCGGCCTCAGCCTCAGCCTGCCTCAGCCTCAGCCTGCATCAGCCTCAGCCTCAGCCTCAGCCTGCCTCAGCATCAGCCTGCTTCAGCCTCAGCCTCAGCCTGCCTCAGCCTCAGCCTCAGTCTGCTTCAGCCTCAGCCTCAGTCTGCCTTCAGCCTCGGCCTCAGCCTCAGCCTGCCTCAGCCTCAGCCTGCCTCGGCCGCAGCATCAGCCTGCCTCAGCATTCAAAATGTGGCCCAGGAGCGGAGTTCTGGGAACTAGAAAAACACGAAGTGGCCTACAGTTGGCTCCGGGCATTCAAAATGTGGCCCGGGAATGGAGTTCTGGGAACTTGAAAAAGCACGAAGTGGCCTACAGCTGGCTCCGGGCATCCAAAATGTGGCCCGGGAGTGGAGTTCTGGGAAGTCGAAGAGCACGAAGTGGCCTACAGTTGGCTCTGGGCATCCAAAATGTGGCCCGGGAGTGGAGTTCTGGGAAATCGAAAAGCACGAAGTGGCCTACAGTTGGCTCCGGGCATTCAGAATGTAGCCTGGGAATGGAATTCTGGGAAGTCGAAGAGCACGAAAAATGTGACTGTTTGCGAAAAACGAGTGCGGCGGCAGCCGCGCCGGGTCCCGCCCCGGGTCCCGCCCCGACCCCCCTGAGGAGTCATGATGCTCTCTTTTGAGACCACTAGAAACCTATCATCAAGAGCTGTTAGGTAACTAGCCGCCCTGATCTTTGTACGAAAAACTTGCCGTCCCGATTTGTTTGCGACGCGAGCATGTCTGGGGCCAGCACCTTCTCATTTCCCCCCCTCGCGCGCCACCGACAAAGACATGACGAGTTCCCTGTTCGCCTGAAGTCCAGCATGTCCCTCTACATGAGGAACCATCACAAATTATCTGGGGGCGATGTTTTGATCATTTTGGGGCATTTGGGGATGTTTTTGGGACTATGTTTTTCCCAACCCTCTTGCGTTGGGTTCTCGTTTTGAATAGAGCACTGCTCGCGCGAACCTTCCTTCCTTCCTTCCTTCCTTCCCGTCCCTCTCTTCCCCCCTGCCTTTGACCTCGCCATCCCTGGGGGGCTGCGATTTGTGAAACTGTCGCCACTTTCGAAAGCTGCTGGGGGGCCCAGCACAGTGGGTACCCACCGCAGACTCAAACGAGACCTCGCCATCCCTGGGGGCTGCGATCTGTGAAACTGTCGCCACTTTCGAGGGCTGCTGAGGGGCACAGCACAGTGGGTACCCACCGCAGACTCAAACGAGACCTCGCCATCCCTGGGGGGCTGCGATCTGTGAAACTGTCGCCACTTTCGAGGGCTGCTGCTGGGGCACCCACAGTGGGTACCCACCGCAGACTCAAATTAGACGCCGCGTTCGTCCTTGTTCTCCTCCTGCAGTCACCTTCCCTCCGCTGCTGTCGTGCTGATGGTTCGGCTCCCCGCACGTTTTTCTCCTGCTCTGCGTTCCCGACTCCCCATGTCCTCTTCGAGCCTGTAGCTGTCGCCCCTCGTCCTTGTATGGTTCTCCTGCGCATCATGCCATAGGCGCGTGTCCCAAGTAGCTTACACATCAAGTTGATTGTCCATGCAAGTTTCGGCCAACTCCTCGTTTCCATTGATACAAATGGGTTGGGCACGTCACAAGGTAATTTCCTCCAAAATCCGCCTGTAGGGGGACACGCCCGACCTAATGCTCGCCGCTTTTGCGGCCCATGCCGCGGGCGAGGCCGGGCCGCTCTCGGGCTCTCTGGGGGCCTCGGAGCGCGGCCCCCGGGACGGGGCGTCGGTCCCCGGGGAGGGGCCGCGAGCTCTTGGGCCCGCGTGTGGAAACCGGGCGAGGCATCGGAGGTCTGGGACCCCCACCCCCGTGAGGAGGAGGAGGAGGAGGAGGAGGAGGAGGAGGAGGAGGAGGCGGCCGGAGGAGGAGGAGGAGGAGGAGGAGGAGGAGGAGGAGCCCCGATGGCTCACACAGGCCTTCACGCGGCGCGCCACACGGAAAAGAGGGCACTTGCGCGCGACCTCAGGCTGGCAGCCTACGTGCGGATGCTAGCGCCACCGACCCCCTTTTTCCCTACGTCGTTCAAGTGAGGCTAGGGCAGATGGGGCCGGATAATCGCACTGCATCGCCGGTGTATCTGCGATGAATCGATGAATGGCAAATATCGTTAGGTCGGGAATGTCCCCCTACAGGCGGATTTTGGAAGACAAATACAAGAGGTAGAACAAACATAAGAATAGTCAAAAGAGCGCGAAAAAACGTCCCCAGGCTATTCGATTACTATTATTGAACCTTCCTCCTGTAGAGGGACATGCCCGACTTAAACGCCGATATCCAGACACACGAGATCGAGCTCCAGCCCGCGCCGCGTCGCCGATGCGGCGCGGTGCTCCGACCCCAATCCCCTCTGGCTCTGTGCTGGGGGCCTGGGCAGTGGGCAGGGACCAACGCAGGAGTTGGGGGGGAGGAGGAGGGAGGAGGAGGAGGAGGAGGAGGAGGCGGCCGGAGGAGGAGGAGGAGGAGGAGGAGCCCCGATGGCTCACACAGGCCTTCACGCGGCGCGCCACACGGAAAGAGGGCACTTACGCGCGACCTCAGGCTGGCAGCCTACGTGCGGATGCTAGCGCCACCGACCCCCTTTTTCCCTGCGTCGTTCAAGTGAGGCTAGGGCAGATGGGGCCGGATAATCGCACTGCATCGCCGGTGTATCTGCGATGAATCGATGAATGGCAAATATCGTTAGGTCGGGAATGTCCCCCTACAGGCGGATTTTGGAAGACAAATACAAGAGGTAGAACAAACATAAGAATAGTCAAAAGAGCGCGAAAAAACGTCCCCAGACTATTCGATTACTATTATTGAACCTTCCTCCTGTAGAGGGACATGCCCGACTTAAACGCCGATATCCAGACACACGAGATCGAGCTCCAGCCCGCGCCGCGTCGCCGATGCGGCGCGGTGCTCCGACCCCAATCCCCTCTGGCTCTGTGCTGGGGGCCTGGGCAGTGGGCAGGGACCAACGCAGGAGTTGGGGGGGAGGAGGAGGGAGGAGGAGGAGGAGGAGGAGGAGGCGGCCGGAGGAGGAGGAGGAGGAGGAGGAGCCCCGATGGCTCACACAGGCCTTCACGCGGCGCGCCACACGGAAAAGAGGGCACTTACGCGCGACCTCAGGCTGGCAGCCTACGTGCGAATGCTAGCGCCACCGACCCCCTTTTTCCCTGCGTCGTTCAAGTGAGGCTAGGGCAGATGGGGCCGGATAATCGCACTGCATCGCCGGTGTATCTGCGATGAATCGATGAATGGCAAATATCGTTAGGTCGGGAATGTCCCCCATACAGGCGGATTTTGGAAAACGAATACAAGAGGTAGAACAGACATAAGAACAGTCAAAAGAGCGCGAAAAAACGTCCCCAGACTATTCGATTACTATTATTGAACACTCCTCCTGTAGAGGGACATGCCCGACTTAAACGCCGATATCCAGACACACGAGATCGAGCTCCAGCCCGCGCCGCGTCGCCGATGCGGCGCGGTGCTCCGACCCCAATCCCCTCTGGCTCCGTGCTGGGGGCCTGGGCAGTGGGCAGGGACCAACGCAGGAGTTGGGGGGGAGGAGGAGGGAGGAGGAGGAGGGAGGAGGAGGAGGGAGGAGGAGGAGGAGGAGGAGGAGGCGGCCGGAGGTGGAGTTCGGGGGGGAGGAATCGCACCCGCGCCTCGAGCTTTAGAGAGCCTTGGCTTGAGAAGCTCAGCCCTTCATGCGTCGGAGTGCGCTCGGCTGCGCCGCGCAGGCCCAGGAGCACGCCGAGCCGCAGCACAGCACAAGATGAACTACAGTCATCGGCCTGACCCAAGGAACGATAGATAAGGAACGAAGCCGCATTTTTCCAAGGAGTAACGCATAAGAAACGATGAAGAGTAAATAACGCAGAAGGAACGATCAAGAACGCAAGCCTAAGGCACGACCGAGCACCTTTTAAAAATAAGTGTTCCTTATTCAAGCCGCTCCCTGTACCACACCCTGGCCCAAGACTGTGGGCGTGCGAACCCAAGCAACAGCCACCACCGGCATTGGAAGACCACTGCTAGCGAGTCGAGAGGCTGTGGCGGTGGATAAAATCCGCGTCCAACTCCGGGCAATTCATGTTTTGTCCACCGCCAGCACACCGACTCATGGCCCGGCTTGTCTGGGGACTTGAGCTGACTTCCTCACCGATGCTGACTGTGCCGTCAACTGTCCCCCGAACATGGTGGACATGGACATGCTCCAAGATCGGAGCGGAAACGGCACGGAAAGGCGGCGTGGAGCAAGCCGGGGGGGAGGAATCCCCGGCGCGCCCGTTCTCACGAGCGCGCCGTTGGGACGGGTCTCCCAGGGCGCGGGCAGCGAGCGCCTTAGAATACAAAGCTGAAGTCGTCTCTCGGATTCCGCGCAGGTTTCTTGGGCTGGTTCAGCCTCTCGATGTGCTTGTCGAACCCGGTGTGCGTCTCGTAGTACCGCTTCAGCTCTGGCAGCGACTGGGGACGCGAGAAGTACGCTCGCTGGCCCTTGGGCTTGTGCGTGTTCATGTTGACGCCGACGTTGAACCTCAGCGTGAAAGTCGGGGGGGTCTAAAGGTGCCCCTGGCCCAGGGCGCCCCCAGCTCTTCGCTCAGTTTTGGACCCCTGGGGCCCTCTGGGAGTCGCGAGGGGTGCTCTGGAGGCCGTGAGGGCCTCCTCGGAAATCCTGGGGGCACCTTGGGCCAGGGGCACTTCTAGCAGCACTTAGGTCGGGCATGTCCTCCTCCAGGCGGATTCTGGACGAAAACTTAAAATACAGTCAAACAGTGCTCACACATAGCCAAACTAAAGAAGAATCGTCCCCAGACTATGTTTGAGTTGTTTTGGAATATGCCTTCTGCAGAGGGATACGCCCGACTTGAAGCAACACCCGAGAGAGGAGACGGGCCCCAGGAGAACACGGGCCCTGGGGCCCCCGGGGGGTCTGCCCGCAGAGGTCCCGCTCTGCGCCCCGAGCCCGCGAGAGGGTGCCCCAGGCCCCTGGGGGGGTCCCTCCTCCTGCCTCCTGCCTCCTGCCTCCTGCTGCCTCTCCTCCTCCTCCTGCCTCATCCTGCCTCCTCCTCCTCCTCCTCCTCCTCCTCCTCCTCCTCCTCCTCCTCCTCGTCCACCAGCCTCTCCTCCTCCTCCTCCTCTCCCTCCTTCCTCTCCTCCCTCCTCCTCCTCTCCTCCTCCCTCCTCCCTCCTCCTCCTTCCTCCTCCTGCCTCCCTCCTGTCTCCTGCCTCCTCCTCCCTCCTCCTCTCATCCTCCTCTCCTCCTCCTCCTCCACCTCTCCTCCTCCTCCTCCTCCTGCCTCCTGTCTCCTGCCTCCTGCCTCCTGCTCCTCCTCCTCCTCCTCCTCCTCCTCCTCCTCCTCCCCGCTCTCGTCGCCCTCCTGTTCCTCCTCGCCCTCCTCCCCACTCTTCTCGTCGCCCTCCTGTTCCTCCTCGCGGTCCTCCGTCCCCGCGACGGTGCCCCAGGCCCCTGGGGGGGAGGGGGAGGCCACGACGGCCGAAGACCAGAGGATCCGCTTCCCTCAGGACCTCCGAGAAGGGACCTCCTCCCAGGGGGGGCTCGACGAGGAACCCAGACCCCCTCGCGTTGTGGAGAAAACTCGACGGGAATTTTCTCGCTATGTTCGGCCTCTAGGGGGACCCCTACCGGCCCTCGGGACCGTCAAAAAGCAGCTCGGGACCGGAATGAGTCCAGACCTCTGGGGATCGGGTCATGAAAAAATCATGACGTCGGGGAAGAGCAAACGAAGAGTGGGGAGACGTAAGACTCGGGTACGGGGGACTCGGGTTGGCCCGACGGGGCCATCACAAAAATGCCGAGACCCGATCTGAAATCTGGCGCGACCTACCGCTGTGCAGACATCCCAGGAAAACTGGACCATCAAACTCCCAGACGCGCTCGTTAGAAAACGTCGGCAAACCCGAGCTCCGGCTTACTCGAGGGGGGGCCAGGAGGAGGGGCGTCAGCGCATCATGGCCCCAAGGCGCGCGCGGACGAGGAGGGCCAGAGGACGTGTTGGGGGGCTCACGACGGCCGAGGACCATCAGGATCCGATTCCCTCAGGACCCCCCTCCTTCCTTCGGGTGCGCCGAAGAGGGGGGCGCCAGGAAGAGGGGGGCGTCAACACATCGTGGCCCCACAGGCACGCGCGCGGGCGAGGAGGGCCCGCGGGCGTGTTGAAAGAGGAAGGAGGGGCTCACGACACCAGGGAGACATCGGTCCCCCTGCCATGAGATCCATTCCCCATACCTTCGACAACAAAGATGCATCACAGCGAGAGACATGACCTTTCGGAGGTCCGAGCGGGGTTGCCTGATCCGCGCTGTACCCCCCACACCCTGGCGCGCGGAGCGCTCCGGGGGCGGGGCCAGCAGCGCCGCCAGGAGGGCTCCGGCGCCGACCCGAGGAATACCCGCGCGGACCTCCGACAGTGCATGGCGCATCCCCTTCGCTGTGCTCCCCGATCTCCTCGAGTCCTCCCGACGACCCCGCCTCGGACGCCCCCCCCCTTCTAGGGGAACAAAAAGTGGCATAAACATAAAAACTCGGAGGTCCGCACGAATTTCTCGGATCGGCGCTGGGGCCCCCCGGCGGCGCCTCCGGCGCCGCCCCTGGCGCGCTCTGCGCGCCAGGGAGGGGGGTCCAGCGCCGATCCGAGAGATCCGCGCGGACCTTCGAGTTTTTACGTTTATGTCACTTTTTGCTCCCCTACCTTCCCCGATTCGCGGCGAGGAGCCGCTGGTTCCACTTCGGGCGGTCCTCGAGGCTGCGCTCGCTCCACGGGGGCACGAGGCCGGGCCCAGGCGAGCGCCTCGCCCAGCTGTTGCCGCCGGAGATGGCCCGGCGGCTCCGCGCCAGGTCGGGCAGGGACCGGGAGCTGCTGGACATCATGCTCCGCTGCTGTGGGCTGCCGGCCCGCTCCGGCGTCCTCGGGAGGATGCCGAGCCCTCGCCATCGCTCGTACGCGTCTATTCCCCGTGCAGTCTGTCGGTTCAGTGCGTCATGTTTGGTCGCAGCTGGGTCCAGGAAGCTCTCGCCGTGGGAAAAAATTGCAACCGTCCGCGCGATGCCCAGGGCCAGGCTGCTCCCATCGTACTGAAGGACCACATCCCAGAATGAAGCTCGAGCACCCAGAAAAGTATCGAAACAGTACCGGACGAGTATCGCCTCCCAGGGCCCGACACGTGGAAACCCTCAAGTTTCGTTACCTTCTTGGTGCTCGAAAATCTTTCTGGCGCTCAAGGCTGAAGTAAATTGGGCCATCAGAATCGGGCGTTGGCAGAACTGGGTTTAGTGGGACCTGGTTTAGTGATGTGTAATTACTGGGGGGCGCCCCCCCGCCCCGTTCCACTAAACGGAGCTGCCGTCGCCCGAAAAAACACCAGCTACGGCAGACCTGGTTTACTGATTCTGGCCACCTCAGGGGCTCCAGGGCCCTACCACTAACCGGGTCCCCTTACCTGGGGTCCTGGCTATACCCGGCAGGTTTGGACGCCCGAAATGGGTACGGAAAAAATTGGTACAATGCCCAACAACAAATGTTGTCCCAAACCAACAGCGGCCGCTGTTGGGCAGGCGGCCTTCTGTTCTCAAATGGACACAGGCCGCGGCGGCGCGGACAGCGAGCCCTTTTCACAATGAACAGGAACTGCTGCTGGGCATTGTGCCCATTCTTTCCGTACCCATTTCGTTCGCGCAGAACAGAAGCCCAGGGGAGGACACCGAGCCTGGCCAGGCCCCGCCTGGGCCGAGGCCCGGCACACGCGAGCTCCCGGCCTGGCCCCGGGGGCCTTCTCTCGCCGAGCCTGGCCCGGGCCTGGCCCTGCGAAGGTCCTCCTCCTCCTCCTCCTCCTCCTCCTCCTCCTGCTCCTGCTCCTCCTCCTGCTCCTCCTCCTGCTCCTCCTCCTCCTCCTCCTCCTCCTCCTCTCTCCCCTCCTCCTTCTCCTCTCTCCCCTCCTCCTCCTCCTCCTCCTCCTCCTCCGTCTCTCCGTCTCTCCGTCTCTCCGCCTCTCCGTCTCTCCGTTTCTCCGTCTCTCCGTCTCTCCGTCTCTCTTTCTCTCCTTCTCTCCTTCTCTCCTCCTCCTTCTCCTCCTCCTCCTCCTCCTCCTCCTCCTCCTCCTCGGCCCGGCGCCCTCGGGGTCCTCTCCGCGGGAGCTCCGCCCTCCACGGGGGGGGCGTGCATGGAGAAGAGCTTGTTCGGAGAGGTGCGCAGCCAGTGGATGTAGTCCTTGCGCCTAACCTTCATCTCCCCTCTTCTGTCCAGGCGGGCCCACTCGGCCTGGAACTCGTCCTCCGTGGGGAAGTGGCCCAGGTAGAACCGGTAGATCTCCCTGAACTCCGCCTGCGGGCAGGCGCCAAACGGGGACAGCATCAACGGAGACGACGACCCGAGCATTGTCCGACATCAGCAGCGGCTGCTGCTGCAAGGCGGCGCTCACTACTGAACCAGCAGAGCTCGCTGCGAGATCGAAGGCGAAACCTGATCAAAACTACGAGAGCGTTCTGCTGGTCATCGTCCACTATGGGATGCCCCTCCCTCCTCGACTCACATCACCCTCCCTTCTCCTCCTCATACATCTCTCCATCCTTACCTCCGTCGTACTGGGGAACCTGATCCACATTAACGTATTCGAGCGCCACGTCGCTACCCAGCACTACGGAGTCGAGGACGACCTCGGTATCCACCGCGACGCTTTCAAACACGGAATCGGGGGGCGCTACCGCGATGACGAGCAATGCATCGTTGACCAGCTTTCCCAGCACGACGGGGTCTACTAGCCCAACTCAGCACCAGCACCACTCGCAGCAGCGTGAACATGACGAGAAACACCATCCGCACCAGCTACAGCTCAGTAATAACAGAACCATGAAGCGCAACAACACCGCAGTGTTCAACACGGCGGTGAATTTCAGCGTCGTGCACGTCAACACCGACAAGATGGCATGAGAGACACGGGTGCTGCACCACGAGACCCACCAGCACGAATGAGTACAGCAGCACTTCCTCGTCGAGCACGTCGGCTCTCAATCCGAGCGCGTGCAGCAGCCACAACCGCCAGAGAACATGCTGGGCCAGCAGGACGACGTTGAGCAACACAGCGGCGAGATGCAGCACGCTTGCTGGATTGAGTTCTGACAGACTTTCTGCTTGCAGCGAATCTTCGGACGAGGCTCTTCGTAATGTTGTGGTCTTCCCTCCCCCTCTTGGCTACACGCAAGAATGACCCCAGGCAAGGGTGGCCTTTGTTGCGCGGGATATCGGGGGACGTGGGGTGGCCAAACCTGGGCGCGCAAGCCGCCGCTACCGCGTCGCGTTCAGCGATCGGGGGCTTCCCTTGGGCACGCTGGCGCTGCAAGCGGAATCGGGGCCTACACCAAGGTCGGGCATGCCCCCCTACAGGCAGATTTTGGAGGGAATAATCAAATAGTCTAACAAGTACTCGAAAAAGCGTCCCCAGGCTACTCCAGATTTCGTAATAAAAGAGAGGGGGTCTGGACCCTCCAAGACAAGCCATTTCAGACCTCCCCCGTGGGAGAACCCTCCAGAACATCGTCCCCAGACCCCCCCAGGCCCTCCAAGATAGCCTGGAAGAGACCCCCCCCGAAATAAGACCCCCCTCCCTTTATTACGAAATCTGGAGTAACAAATACTCGAAAAAGCGTCCCCAGGCTATGTTTCAACTATCTTTGGATATTCCCCCCGGTAGAGGGAGACGCCCGCCTTAAAGCCTACGCTGCAGCTGGCGCCGCAGCGTCTGGGGGGCGCTTGCCCCGCCGCAACTGCTCCTGCGCGGACCACTGCCGAGCGGCCGCCGGAGAGGCGGCCTTCGCGGCCCGCCGGAGAGGCAGCCTTCGCGGCCAGGCGTTCGTTGCAAGATTCGCAGACGTACAGGGCAGTTTTAAATACATGGGAGTTTTCAAAATATTCGATGTTTAATGCATGACTAATGTATGAATGAATTGATGCATGAACTCCTCGTTGCTTTTAATACTCAATCCCTGCATTTTTAATACATGATCCGCACGCGGAGCATGTAATTATTGAAAACGGCACTGTCACAGGAACTTGGCCGAGAGTGAGATGGCGTTCCATGCTCAAGATCTGTCCTCGGTTCCGCAAAAGCTGCAGGGCAGGACCCCCAACAAAAAACGCCTCCGTGCGCGCAGCCGCCTGCGCCGGCGCAGAGAGAGTGCATGCCGGTGGCCGTGCTGCCGGGCGAGCTCCGCCGCGCGCTCCTGGCCAGCACCGAGCTGCTGTCTTCCCCGTTCCGAGGCCTTCGTCTGACGATCGATCGGGTTCCCGGCCTCAGCAGGTTGCCTTCTGAGAATGCTCGGTGTAACCGCGACGCCGTTCGAGTGCCCGTTGCGCCTGGACCAGCCTTTGCGAGGACGCCTGGGCCAACTGCATAGGGGTCTTCTCTGAATCACGGTCTTCACGGAAATTGCCAAGCGTATCACGAAGGGAATATGTTCGTTGCTGATGTTCGGGGCTGTCATCTGCTTGTTTTCCATGTGCAACCAGTGCTTGCTGTTCTTCCTGGATCGCTGGTCCAACCTTGGGCTGGACGGCATCGCGGGCCTGACCGTCCATGCTCGGCTGCCTGCGTCTGCTGCTGCTGCTGATTGGGCTGCTGGTGGGCGTCCTGAAGTGTTCCAATGGCCGCCACACTGCCAACACCGAGGGTGGCTACCTACTCACTCCCAGCTGTAGTCACAGGCGGTCTGGGCTGATGGGCCTCCTGAGTTGCTACTGCTGGGTCCTGTGCGGCGCTTTCCTTTCGTACCACCACATTGCACGTTCCTCCTGCAAAGCCGCCTTTACTTCTTCTCCGTGAGTTCGCGGCGATGCGTGATGCCGCCGCAGCCTGCGGGCGGCCTTCACAACGCGAGGGAGGGCCCGATCCGCTGCGCGCACGGCGCGATCCCTCCGATGCCAGGCAAGCTGGAATGGAGGGGGAATGATGTGAGAGCGGAAAGGGGGAGGTACAATAATGTGACGAGGCACTCGTAGCGCACATCCGCGTCGGACCTGTTCCGACAAAAGCCTGGGCCCGAGGCTAGCCCTCAGCAAGGTCATCCCAGTCCCCCCTCACCATCCAGATTCCTCCTGCGGCGTGGGTTGTCCATCCAGACTCCTCCTCCTCCTCCTCCTCCTCCTCCTCCTACCTCCTCCTCCTGCCCCCGAAGTCCCCATCCCCCTCCCGCCGCAACATCCGCCACATGCCCTATTCGTGCTCATCATCATCGTCATCGTCATCATCATCAACATCCCCCTCGCGCTCAGTTCGTCTCACATCTCAATCCTCGATCCCCCAGCATCATGGTTCACATCATGTAAATTGCCGTCCGCGACATCACCGTACCCATCACAACCATCGCCAACCATCATCACGTGTCTCAGCATCCTTATGTTCCCGCCTGTCCAGCCATCATATCATACACGTATGCACATAACGCTCCGCCACTTTCGTCTCTCGCCTCCCATCCTGGCAATGCACAATCGCACCATCATGCCCCAACCGTCATCATCATCATCATCATCATCATCATCATCATCATCATCATCAGCATCATCATCATCAGCATCATCATCATCAGCATCATCAGCATCATCACCACCACCACCATCATCATCATCATCATCAGCATCAGCATCAGCATCAGCATCATCATCAGCATCAGCATCATCATCATCAGAATCATCAGCATCAGCATCATCATCATCATCATCATCATCAGCAACAGCAACAGCATCAGCATCAGCATCAGCAGCAGTATCATCATCCTCATCCTCCTCCTCTGCCTGGTCCGCCTCCTCCTCATCATCATCAGCATCATCATCATCCTCCTCCGCCTCCCCCTCCTCCTCCTCCTCCCCAACATCATCACCATCATCAGCATCATCCTCATCATCATCGTCGTCGTCGTCATCGTCATCGTCATCGTCATAACCGCATCATCAGCATCACCAGCATCATCATCAGCATCACCATCATCATCATCGTCATCATCAGCATCATCATCATCATCGTCACCATCATCATCAGCATCATCATCATAATCGTCAACCGCATCACCACCAACGACATCATCAACAGCGTTTTCGTACTATTCCTCATCGTCAAGATCATTGCAACAGTCATTACCGTCGCCGTCAACGTCGTGGCCCTTGTCACCGCCCGTAAACGACGTATTGCTGTCATCACCATCGGCACCACCACCACCAACCATCGACATCTTGAACAGCACATCATCCACCACCGTGCCGCCTGACACGTTCAGGCGTGGACGAATGGCACGGGCCGTCTGGTAGGGTTTTGTAATCTAGTACGGGGCTGCACGCCCCTCGACCAGCAGACTCTTGTGCGCCTCCCCCCCCGACTCTCCGAGGCCACGGTCCACGCGTGCCCGCTCGAGGATGGCGCACTTCCCGCACGGCAGCTAATGCCCAAACCCCCGTCCACGCGTGCCCACTCGGGGATGGTGCACTTCTCGCACGGCAGCTAACGCCTGAACCCCCCTTCCACCCGTGCCCGCTCAAGGATGGTGCACGTCCCGCACGGCAGCCAATGCCTGAACCCCCCTTCCACGCGTGCCCGCTCGGGGATGGTGCACGTCCCGCATGGCAGCCAATTCCTGAATCCCCCTTCCACGCGTGCCCGCTCGAGGATGGCGCACTCCCCGCATGGCAGCCAATTCCTGAACCCCACTCCCACGCGCACCCGCTCGAGGATGGTGCACGTCCCGCATGGCAGCGAATGTCTGACCCCCATTCCACGCGCGCCCGCTCGAGGATTGCGCACTTCCTATATGGCTGCTGCCTCCCAGACCCTTCGTCCCACCCGCACCCGCTCGAGGATCGTGCACGTCCAGCATTCCCAGGCGCTGCTCCCAAGCGCTCCAGGGCCTCCCAAGCCACGATCCCTTGTTAAAAACAATGGGTATGCGTCCCGAGCTTCCAAGACGGCCCGCGCAGGCAACCAAGGACACTAAGACGGCCTAATATGCTTCGAAGACGGCCCACGATGGCCCCAAGGCGGCCGAACATTGCTTTAAGACGGCCCAAGATGTATCCAAAAGGGCCCGCAAGGGCCACAGGAGGACCACTAACAGGGTCCGAAGAAACCAGAATCATAGATTTCCACTCGGCTTGTGACTGAGTTCCGCATTCTCGCCTTTTCGGTCTGCCGTCAGCTCAAGACGGCCCAAGAGGACTCCACGATGGTTCAAGAGGCATCCAAGACGACCCAGAGACGGCCCAAGAGGGCCTCCTGTGGGACCCAAGACGGCCTTGGACGGCCGTTCGACGGCCCAGGACGGCGCCAAGACGGCCCCCCAGACGCCCAACACACGGCCACACGTGCCCCGGGACGGCCCGAGAGAGACCCAAGCCGGCGTCAGAGGGCCTCGAGACTGCCGCAAGAGATCCTCAGGACTGCCTCGGGAGGCCAAGACCGCCCGACGACGGCCCGAATGAGGTTCATTCTCCTCCTTTCCTTCTCCTTATAAACAACTTCTCTCTGTCGCACACCCGAGGCCAGTTGTTAGGGTGGGGCCGGCCTTTCGCCCAAGACTTCCTCACCACTAATGGACTCCGATGTTTAAACATTGGCAAAAGTTTCACAGGTGGAGGGCTGGTCGTATTCAAAATGTGGCTCTCGCCTTCGCGCCGCGCACATTCGTTTTAATCATGTGCAAGAGATTCTCGGATTGATTGAAGGCAAAGGGTTCTCAAACTGTGCTTCTGGTCTTAGCGCCGCGCACATTCGTTGTTAAAAAATCGCAAGAGCTTCACGGATTGAAGGCGAGGGCGAGTGGTTTTCAAAATGTGGCTCTCGCCTTAGCGCCGCGCACAATCGTTGTATGCAGAGCTTCACGGGTTGAGGGCGAGTCGTTTTCACAATGTGGCTCTCGCGTTAGCGCCGCGCACATTCGTTTTTAAACATTTGCAAGAGTTTCACGGATTGAGGGCGGTCCCTTTTCAACATGTGGCTCTCGCCTTAGCGCCGCGCGCATTCGTCTTAAAAGTATAAAGGTTTCACGGATCTCCATGATCCACGAACCAGAAATGGCGTTTTGGGAGGATTCAGGATTATGAGGGTGCACAAGCTATGTTGTGTTGCAGTGTTCAAGTCCCAAGAATGGCATTCTGACACGATTCAGAATCGTCGAGACGCAACAGTCCTGTTGATCGTTGGAATCCCGAGAACGATGTTTTGGCATGCTTCAGGGTCTTCGAACAGTTGTCTTCCAATGACGCAGTTTCCTCAGTACAAATAAACCGCTGTAGGGGCCTATGAAGAGGGAGCTTGGAGGGAGGGTGTATTATAACATCGTTGATGCCTCTTGGGTTTACACTGGTCCTCCTCGTCCTCCTCCTCCTCATCATCAGCATCATTACCATCATCATCAGCATCATCACATTCATCATGAGCAGCATCAGCATCAGCATCATCATCAGAATCATCATCATAAGCATCATCATCAGCATCGTTGTCAGCATCATCATCATCATAAGCAGCATACTCATCAACATCAACATCATCAGCAGCATCATCATCGGAATTGACATTGACATTAGCATCACATTCATCAACAGCACCATCATCAGCAGCAGCAACCTCATCATCATCACCATCATAATCAGCAGCATCATCCTCACCACCACCATCATCATCATCATCAGCAGCATCATCATCATCAGCATCATCATCACCACCACCATCGCCATCAGCATCATCACCATCATCATCAGCATCATCGTCATCACCATCACCATCACCATCACCATCATCACCATCATCATCATCATCATCACTATCACCATCACCATCACTATCACCATCCTGAGCATCATGAGGATCAGCATCATCAACATCAACATCAGCAGCAGCAACGGCATCTGCATCAGCATCAGCAGCATCAGCATCATCACCAACACCACTACTGCCACCAACACCACCTCCACCTCGAAAACCAACATCCTCCTCCTCCGCTTCCTCCTCATCACCACCCTCATCCTCATAATCCTCACCCTCCTCCTCATCCTCCTCATCACCACCATCATATCGCCATAGTCATTATCATCCTCCTCACCATCATCCTCATTCGCTTCATCATCATCATCATCGTCCTCATCCTCCTCCTCGTCATCGTCTTCATCACCATGAATACACCATCAGCATCAGCAGCAGTATCAACATCATCATCATCATCATCATCATCATCATCATCAGCATCATCAGCATCATCACCACCACCACCATCATCATCATCATCATCAGCATCAGCATCAGCATCAGCATCAGCATCAGCATCAGCATCAGCATCATCATCATCATCATCATCATCATCATCATCATCATCATCATCATCAGTATCATCATTATCATCATTATCATCACCAGCACCATCACCATCACCATCACCATCACCATCATCACATCAGCACCGATCATCACACTCGTGCGACAGGAGGTGTTACACGTGACGGCCTCCCGTGCCCCCTCGAACAGTCGCCACCCAGAATGCTGGGCTGGCACGGTGGCGGGACTCGCCGCAGGCAGCTGGATCATCATCAGCATCCCCGTCGTCCTCCCACCATCGCCCATCCTCCTTATCTTAACGGGCGAAGAACGGTGTAAAATAAACTGTTTCGCTGTCGGCGGCGCCTGTCTGTCCCAGGACGGCTGGAACGTTTATACCCTTACGGTGGCACCGTAGGGGTATAAACTTTCCAGCCGCCCAGGGGCAGGTGCCTCCGACGGCGGAAAGTTTATTTCATGCCGTTCTTCGCTCGCTGATTATCCCTCCTCCGTCCTCGCAAGGGGGAAGGGAGCAGCAGCAAGTACGACCAGAGACCTTGATCCTGGCTCACCGCCCCCCCGTGGAGCCAGGCCTCCGACGGCCCGACCTCTTCGTAGGGGCGCCGGCTCCTGGACGTCTCCCGCCCCCCCCCCCGGGAGCGGCTCTACACTCAGGTCGGGCATGCTCCCCTACAGGCGGATTTTGCATGAAAAACTGTACATACCTCAAAAAGGTTCCCAAAAATAATCCAAACAAGATATCTCTCTATATAGTTACATCTGTGTATATATGTATTTGTATATATAGATATATGTATATATAAAAATATGTAATACATATATATATATACACACAACAAAAAAAACACAAACAAAACAAACACACAAAAGACGTGTCGGGGCTATCTTCTGAGAATGTTTGGGCATTCCTCCTGCAGAGGGGCAGGCCCGACGTAGCTCTACACCCCCGGGGCAGCCGACTGATGGTCCTGGGGCCTGGACTGGCCTCCAGAGTCGGGGCGGGCGAGCGGGCGCGTGATACCAGAGGGAGAGGGGCTACGGCCGTGAGTGGACAGGACACGCGAGAGGACACAAGACCCGTCCGAGGGCCACGTTGCCATACCGTCATCGGCCTGACCTAAGAAACGATAAATGAGGAACGGAGCCCCTTTTTATCCCAAGGAATAGCGCATAAAGAACGAGAAATAACCAATAACGCATAACGAACTGTAAATAACGCATGCAAGCCTAAGGAACGACCGAGCCCCTTTTGAAAAGTAAGTGTTCCTTACTCAAGCCGCTCACTGTAGGGATGCAGGAGGCATGGGTCGCGAGGCACAGGGCACAAAAAAGGGTACCCTGGGTTTGGCAGGGTCGAGCTGCTGATGCGGGCCGACTGTAGCGAACCGTTTGGAAGCAGCCCGTTTCCCCGCGCCTCCCAGCGCCAGGAGCGGCCGTGCACCGAAGGCAAGCTGCTCGGCCGCGGCGGGGGGCAGAGACCGTCTGCGTGCAGCAGGTATTGACCCCCCCGTTCCCAGTTGGGTCCGTCAGGCAAGGATCAGTCAGAGTTGGATCGAGACTCTGACTGAATCGGCATGTGCGTCGGCTCTGGCCACATCGGCACGGAGTCGGAATCGAATCGGAACACCTGCGCAAGGACGCACAGCAACGCCATGCGAGCATCGGGCTGCATCGGACCGTCGGATGTCTGAACCAAATCCGACCAGGCCAACAGGAATCGATGTAGAATCGGATCGATCGGCTCGGGATTAGGAAACAAAAAAAAACATAAACATAACAACTCGGAGGTCCGCGCGGACTTCTCGGATCGGCGTTGGGGCCCCCTGGCGGCGCCTCAGGCGCCGCCCCTGGCGCGCGGAGCTCCGAGTTTTTATGTTTATGCCATTTTCTGTTCCCCTAGAGATGGACCATGCGAGAGTCGTCTTGGGAACGGGGCCTCCTCGATCTCCTCGTCCCCGTCAAGGTCGAAGAGGGCGAAGATCATGTCGGCGGTGCTCTTCTGCCGGCTGTTGCGCATGTAGAGCATGAACGACTTGAACTCCTGCAGCGGACGGGAGGAGGAGCAGGCCTCCCTCCCAAGACTCAGGAGGGAAAAACAAACACACACACACACACACACACATAGACACACTTAATCGACGATTCCCCAAAAATATTGGAAAATATGGGAGGTGTGATGGGGGAGACACAAGACCAGAAAACATGGACAAATACTGGGAATCCTGTTACTTGTGTCTATCTATTTGTGTGTCCCAGTGCCCCCCCCACAAACACACAACGACTGGAACGTATCGAGACGGCACTGTCCCTGTGTTCCCGGCGCCCCAGGAGGCTCCCGCCGGGCCCCCGGACGGTCGGGAGACGCCTCGGGGTGCAAAGCGGACCGCAGCGAGAGGAGGGGGCCGGGACTCCCTGCGGTCCCCGAGGACTGGAACGAGTCGAGGCATCGGACCTCTGTGGAGGTCAACAAATCCACCCCCATGATAACCACCCCGACACGCGAAATCGCTTAGTATAAACGCGCCCAAAGAAGGAGTCGAACAGGGCAGGGCCGTCTAATAAACGCCCCGAGCCGTTCAGGAAACGCCAGTTGTCCGGTCCGGGTGGTTTTTCCTCCCTTGACTCTGGGCCCTCTTCCCTCAATTTCTCTCCCCTCTCTCTGGCTCAACTGCGAGGTGGAACGACAGGGGTGACGAACGATCAACACGCACCCATACCCATGGGAGGGACGGAATGAGCTATGGGTGCGCGTTGTCGGATGCGGGCCCCCGCTCAAACGGGAGCCTCCCCATGGGTCCAACAGCCCGCACGCACACCCATACAGCCAGCCCTCCTCCCTCCGACCTCCCTAATTGTGGGTGTGGGCGTGCGTGTTGTTCGCTCGTCGAGGGGGGGACTGGCTCCGCGGGGGGGCGGGAACACGGGCTCGAGTCGGGCATGTCCCCCGACAGGCAGATCTCCGACTGACTACCTTGTGGACTACGTTTGAATGCACGTCGGTCGGAAGAAGTAGGAGGGCGGATCTAGTGGATTGGGTCCAGGTCCGCCCCGAGCAGACCAAAACGCAGCAAACGCATAGGCCGGTTCTTGAGGCAGGAAGGCGCTGGAAGCAGCTTGGGATCTGGGGATCCACAAATGCCTACTTTCAACGACAAGGCGTGCCTTCCTCCTGTAGAGGGACAGGCCCGACTGAACCACAGGCCTGCAGTCGGCAGCACATCGCCGGTGGGCGGGCGGGGCGGGAGGCCCCCGGCAGCAAGCCGCACGCGGCTGGGCTGGGTGGGGGCTGCCGGAGCCCCGCTGGCGAGGACTTGGGCGATGGGGGGTCGACGCACTGCGCCCCCCTGGCAGCGGGGGCCACCTCTGACTGACTGCGGCCTTGCATCCCTTGCAGACGCGTAGGCGAAACAAAAAACGAATCAGCATACTTGTACAAAGAGAAACAGAAGACATGCAACTATGCCTGACTATATACTGAAGGGCCCACCTCGTCCTCCCCTGAAGCCCCAGACCCCCTCGAGTCATGAACAAAATCACGACGGAAGGTTTTGTTCGCTATGTTCGCCCTCGGGGGGGCCCTCACCAGGCCGCGGGACCGTCAAAAAGCGACTCGGGATGAAAAACCGGTCCCGGGGAATGGGTCGGTCGAGACCCCTGGGGATCGACGTCATGCAAAAATCATGACATCGGGGGTCTGGGACTGCTCGTCCTCCCCCTCGTCCTCCCCCTCCTCCCTCACGGGGAGGCGCTGACGCCCTTCGCGCAGTCAGACGGGCCTCAACTTTGCAGACGGCCTCAGGCTCTCAAGCTCGGGGGGGGGGAGGCGCAGGGTTCGCATGGGCTGGCGCGATCCGTGGAGCTTCGACAGCCTGCAGGCCAGTGGGGAGGGCGGCACTGCTGCCGCGTGCGCACATATCGGAAGAGGAGGGAACCTGCATGACCATCAACGTTTAGGTCGGGCATGTCCCCCTACAGGTGGAGCTTAGGCGAAAAATTAAAAATACCTCGATAAGCTCAGAAATAATCAAAAATGAACCAAAAATCGTCCCCTTAACATTTGTTTGAAAAATGTTGTTGAGTTTTCCTTCTGTAGAGGGACACGCCTGACTTAAATCAACCTTTGGAGGTCGGCGCCGATTCGAGGAATCCGCGCGGACCTCCAAAGGCCTATGCTTACTCCGTTGCTTCTTCTCCTTCGAGTGAAGAGGAGTGCGGCTCTGCTGCCGCACCGGCAGTGATCCCACTGGTGGGCAACTAGCCCAGCCTAGCCGTCAGTGGATTGGCGATGCTGGCTTATGACCGTGAACCGCGCTCCCAAAGCGAGAGGCCCATGGCCCTGGGGATTTGGGTGACCCAAAAGGGGGTCCAGCTGCAAGGGGGTGGTGCAGTAGATTTGGGACGATTGTATTGCAAATGTATTGCGCAAGAAAATTGTATTGCATTGTATTGCAACAAATGCATTACACGCTAAAATCAAGCAATACATTTGCGCCCCAGAATGTACTGCACCAAATCTGTTGCACCACCCCCTTGTCGCAGGACCCCCTTTTGAGTCAACACGAGGGGAGCAGTGTGGGAGGGTCCCTGGCGCTAATTAGAAGATCTGGACCCCTCGTGGGGGCTGCAGTGCGGTCAAGCTGTGGCAACACAACATAATAACACCGACATCGAGACCAGACATACCAAAGCTGCACGAGAAGACACATGGTTCATAAGCACCGGCATGCGCGTTCACGTGCGAAACGCAACGCGGGCACGGCATGGCATTGTAACGGTGTTTCGCATCCTAGATCAGGGACAGACAACAAGGTACCGATACCGCTCCTCCCCGGACCTATCCCGGGGTGCGTTCTGACCAGAATTTCGAGGCAAATCAACCGGTGGCGAGTCGCCATTGGCGACGAGGGCCTCCCAGGAGGCCCGTAAAGGGGAAAACGAGGCAAGAGTCGCGGTATGGTTAGAAAGTCCAGGGTTCTTTCCGAACAGCCGAAACCCTCCCGAAACCATCCGAAAACCCTCCGGAAAGGGTTCCGGGAGGGTTTTCGGAGGGTTTCGGCAGGGTGTTGGAAGGCTTTTCGTAGCTTTGGGAGGAAGCCAGTCCCTAGCGAACCCTGGGCTTTCTAACAGTATGCGTACCTTTTCCTCTGCGATTCTCTGCATTCTAGACTCGGCGGCGACGATAGGGGCGAATAGCCCGGGGGCGGGCATTACACGTATTCGCCCCGGAGCCTTTTTGGAAACATAGATCATCGGCGCACCTGAATACATGTATTGCTCTCCCCTGGGCCATTCGCCCCTATCTAGAGACCTCCTGAATGGGGTCCGAGTAGATGCGGTCGAAGGATCGCGCCGCATCGCCAATGCATTGCCGATATATCGGCGATGCATCGGCAATGCATTGGCGATGCATCGGCGACGTTGGCGATGCATCAGCGACGTGGGTGTTGGGAAACACGGGCTCCACATCGAGCCGAATCGTCGATGCATCGGCGATGCGGTGCGATCCTCCGACCCCATCTACTCTGACCCCATCTATGAAGGGGCCCTGGGACACACAAACAAGTGGCACGTGTGCCATAGCCCTTGCACAAAAAGAAAGGGGGAGGAGGAGGAGGAGGAGGAGGAGGAGGAAAAGGAGGAGGAGGAGGAGGAGGAGGAGGAGGTGGAGGAGGAGGGGGGAAGAGGGGGCAAGGCATCGCCCTCTGGGCCCAGCAACGGGGCCCAAGTCCCAGGTGGGGAAGGTGGGGGAGGCGGCGTGCGTCGCGACGCGGAATAAATCGCTCGGAGCGGAGGGAGCACAGGGCGGAGGTCCCACTGGCGCTGGTGGGCGCGGAGAGGAGGGGGGGTGGCTGTGTGCCGCGACGCGGAATGCACAAAAAGAAAGGGGGAGGAGGAGGAGGAGGAGGAGGAGGAGGAAAAGGAGGAGGAGGAGGAGGAGGAGGAGGAGGTGGAGGAGGAGGGGGGAAGAGGGGGCAAGGCATCGCCCTCTGGGCCCAGCAACGGGGCCCAAATCCCAGGTGGGGAGGGTGGGGGAGGCGGCGTGCGTCGCGACGAAGAATAAAGTGCTCGGAGCGGAGGGAGCACGGGGCGGAGGTCCCACTGGGGCGCTGGGGGCGCGGAGAGGAGGGGGGGTGGTGTGTGCCGCGACGCGGAATAAACTGTCGGGGCGGAGGGGGCACTGGGCGGGGCTTGGGGCAGAGGGCCACGGGGCGGGGGTCCAACTGGGGCGCTGGGGAAAGGGGGGGAAGGTGGGAGGTGGCGTGCGTCGCGACGCGGAATAAAATTGTCGGGGCGGAAGGGGGCACGGGGCGGAGCCCCCACTGGGGCGCTGGGGACGCGGGGAGGGAGGTAGGGGAGGTGGTGTGCGGCGCGACGCGGGATGAAGCGTTAGTGGCGGAAGGGGCAGTGGGCGTGGCCCCCGCTGGGGCGCTGGGGACGCGGGGGGGCTCGGGGCGGAGAACCACGGCGCGGGGGTCCCACTCTGGCGCTGGGGGCGCGGACGGGGGGGGTGCGACGCGTAATACAGCGTTCGTGTCGGAGGGGGCAGTGGGCGGGGGCCCCGCTGGGGCGCTGGGGACGCGGTGGCGCTTGGGGCACGGAGCCACGGCGCGGGGGCCCCACACTGGCGCTGGGGACGCGGGGGCGGGGGGGGGAGGTGCGACGCGGGATAAAGGGTTCGTGGCGGAGGGGGCAGTGGGCGTGGCCCCCGCTGGGGCGCTGGGGACGCGGTGGGCTCGGGGCGGAAAGCCACGGCGCGGGGGCCTCACACTGGCGCTGGGGACGCGGGGGGGCGGGGGGGGGGCGACGCGGGATAAAGCGTTCGTGGCGGAGGGGGGGCAGGGGCGGGGCCCACGCTGGGGCGCTGGGGGGACGCTGGGGGGTTTGGGGCAGAGAGCCACGGTCGCGGGGGGACCCACTCTGGCGATGAGGACGCGGGGGGGGGGGGGGGAAGCGACGCGAAATAAAATGGCCGAGGTCTAGACACCTGTGCAAGAGAAAAAACTGTAAACTGGTCGGGCGGAGGGGGCGGTGCGCTGCTGGGGCTGGGCTGCTGGGGAAAAAGGGGGGGGGGGGGGGGCGACGACGACGCCGAAATAAAGTGGTAGGGGCGAAGCGAAAGGGGCGGCGCGCTCGGGGCTGCTCGGGAAAGGGGGTGGGACGGGGGCGACGACGACGCCGAAATAAAATGGTCGGGGCGGAGGGGCCGGCGCGCTGGGCTGCCCGGGAAAAGGGCCGGGGGGGGGCGACGACGACGCCGAAATAAAATGGTCGGGGCGGAGGTGGCAGCGCGCTGAGCTGCTGAGGAGAAGGAGAGGGGGGGTGGGGGCGACGACGACGCCGAAATAAAGTCGTCGGGGCGGAGGGGGCGGTGCGCTGGGGTGCTGGGGAGCGACACATAGCGACACATGTCGACACAACGCCGAAACAGGGCGACGACGACGCCAAAATAAAGTGGTCGGGGCGGAGAGGGCGGTGCGCTGGGCTGCTGGGGAAAGCGACACATGTCGACACAACGC